GAGTGACCGGCTTTCTCAATTTTGGGCGGTGATCCGCAACCTGCTGGTCCTCTTCCAGATCCGCGAAGCAAGCTGCAGACAGGTTGCTGAATGCAGCGTGGTGGCTGAGAGAGAATATCGACGTAAGATTGATATGGAAAGCGCTTTCGCGGTCATAATGTCTGGCAGCCTCGGACAAGTCCTTGATATAGTTTGTCAGAGCAGTGGTGGTCGGTGCTGGGACGAGGCAGCCTAGCGCATTCGGGTCTTCTGTATTAAGTGCACGGTTGCGCCATAGCACATTGCACATGTCCATGACATACCCGTTGAACCGACCAACGAGATCTGTTCCATAAGCTGGGGAGTTTTGTGCTTGGAGGACTTGTGAATTGAGAGAAGCTTCGAATGTAGATTTGTAGACAGCCAAGATGGAGTTGAGGGTTGAGATCACGGCGACACTGGGCGTGAAGGCGAGGGTGTATACGGTTTGCGCATGCGGAAGAGTGAGGCGGAATCGGGCATCTTGAGGTGCATGAGAAAATAGTTCTGAAAGGGTTCTGTAGAAGTCGAGCACAGAGGCTGTAGCTGGCTTGGACTTTTTATCCTCGTCCTCCACTGAGAACTCTAGAATCGAAGATGCCAGAAGCTCGACGTGCACAATGATTTGACTCAGATGAATCGACTCTTCTATTGTATCTAGCTGTGATCGAAGTTTCACACCCCATTGGTTGATCAACGCTGAGTAGAAACCCAGTAACGCTGTTCTAGAACGAAGACTCTCGTCCAACACAGCTGATTCCAATGGTAACAACAATTCACCGCGGAGCGACGCGAAAGGTTCAATCGGGATGTACTGTAGAAGTCGGAAGACGTGGTCAAGATTATCCTTGCCATTCCATGTTTTCAGATAAGACTTTAAAAAGGAACGTATCGAGGATGGGAGGTCCTAATGATTTGTTAGTGTCTGAGGTGATGGTGATGTATCCGAAGAACCCACCTTGGTATAGGATGCATATCCCACAACAAAATCCAATACATATGATAATGTCTCGGGATCATCGTCTTCTTCGTCACGTAGCGTCTCCAATTTATCCTCCAGGAAACTTCTCAGCCATTCATTTAGACGATGATGTGCAAGTTCGGATTGGACTAGATGAAGATACTTCTGCCCCATTGCATCGCCCAAAGTTGAGATAATTTGATTTGGTAACTCGATCTTGTCAAGCCTTTCGACAAAATGGCCAACATCACGAAGCTCCTCCAGGGATGTGTGCTTGTGAGATACCCGTGAAGTTTGCAGAGTCGGAATAACAACTTCAATCCTACTTCTTTTCACAGTCCCCCGATGAACAACTTGGAAACTCGATCCCTGGCCGGCCTGTACTCTTTCCATATTCTGATCTTGGAGCACCTTTACATGGCTTGACCACTCGGGGTCTGGGTGTTTGAAGAAAAGGGCATTCCTTCTCGATCCTCCAAACTCACCGAGAATGATCTCGGGATAATAATTTTTGAAAATCCTCAGAAGGCTAATAAGCTCTTTGTCTTCACCGCCAGCAGTCTGGATCAATTCCATCAAGGCTTGAATCCGGAATGGCTTCACGTGTTTTCGTCTGGTGAGAAGCGAGAGAAGGTGACACAGCGGTTTGCGCAAACTAATCATGTCCAGATAGTTGAAAAGAACGGCATAAAGTTTGGCGAGATGCGTCCTATCTTCGAAAATATCATACGCAAGAATCAACCAGCGCAATAGCAGAGCCTGTGTGGCGGGGCTCGGTTTGTTCTTGCTGGGCCCAAGACAGCACACTACTTGAGTGATATTCTTGGCCGCAATTCTCTCCTGGGGGTACAGGTTTTTTATTAGCGTTGTAACTGTACCCTGGTCCAAGTTATTTTTCGCGGTCAGAATCTTCAGGAGACGGGCTAGCACGGGTTGCGGAATGCCGCTCTCGTACGCGTTTGAAGCGATTGTTTTAGCTAGTAAACTAGCATCTGTGTATCTCTGCTTAGGCGGGACGAATGCAACTGCCGCATCACATTAGTAACATAATTTTCTATCTCAAGAGAGCTTTTCGGCCATACCGGCTTCCAAGTGCTCGACCGCATCGAGAAGGCCGCTTGGTTGGTTGCTACCTGGAGAATTGTTAGCATTATTCAATTGGAAGAATAGATTCACAACTTACCTGTGTCACTATCCATCTACACGGATTCAATTGTAAAATTTTCCACAATTGGTGTGTCGTCGAGAATGATAGAATGTAGTTTGCTTTGGGGTGTTATTGGCGCGTAGTTGCGCGCTTCATCTGCAATTGCGCGTGTTGAAAAAGCAACGAAGCAGTTTCGTCTAGTGAAACTACTTGCGATGATTTTAAATCTAATGGAACCAAAGGAATGAATGCTTTTGGTGTAGACTCAACGGCTGTGGCATAGAAGAACGAGTGGGCGCGAAGGTGCGGAAATGGCCTTAAACCCAATCGGGTAGCTATCAACAACGACTTCAACCTTCGTCTATTATTATTGGTCTGACCATACTATAATAGTAGTACTTTGTCTCGTCTACTTTTAGGATGCAGGATAAGCAAAGCTCGGAATTCTTAAGTGATTTTCTAAAGGAATCCTAATTAAAAGAATCGGAATTAAACATTGCTTGCTACAACATCGTAATAATTATGATCCGATGCTCACCAGCATCATGCCAAAACTAGTGAAATCAAGTGATTTACTACCTATGCAAACGCGTTGATCCCAGGTTCATCGGCTAATGCCGACAAGACCTGCATCTAAACCGTCGTTCATTTTCTCTTGCGAGTAGACGACTTGGAAGTAGCCTTGGAAGAGGATTGGGTAGCCACTTCCTCCTTGTCGCCCTCGATAGCAGGAGTAGGCTCCTCCTCCTCGTCACTGTCGCCTCCCTGGCCGAATTCGTTGACACGCTTGTAGTCCACCTTGTACTTCCAGCCCTGGTAGAGCCAGACGAAGAAGATGACGTCGTCACGGAGAGTAGCCAGGCGATGGAGCCAGGGCATCTTGACAGTGAAGGCGAAGAGATCATCGATGAAGGTGTTCAGGAACTTGTAGGTCAACGCCTTGCCGGGCATGTGGGCAACAGACTTCAACCGGTAGTTGATGTAGAGACTGGGGACCATCATGAGGAAGCCGTAGGCGTAGACACTGCCTACCAGGGTCTGGATAACGTAAGAGTACCACGACTTGTGGGTGTTGTAGACCAAGCTGTACGCGGCGTATGCGAGGAGAAGGGGAACAGCCAAGATGTACAAGTAGCGGAACGCAATTTCATCGTACTCCTTGGTCTTTTCCTCGGTCTCGCTAAGCTTGTGCTTGTCCTCGAAGACAATCACATAGGGCAAGAACGAGAACCAAGAGTTGGCCGGCGGCGGGCGCAAGCGAACGTCGACGGTCTTGGTGATCTTCCAGAATTCCAAAAGTATACCGAATCCTTGACTAGCCAGGATCATCCAAGAGGTGTTGTCGCTGTTGTCCATGAGGTAGAGGAAGATGACAGCCTGCATGAAGACATTTGCCAGGATTGTCCGAACTGAAGTACCAACAATATCCTTCTTCTTACGCCAGTGGGCCTAGAAAATGACAATGTTAGCTATGCTCGACACCATGCCTTTTAAGGGTGAGGTATCACTTACAATATCGTTCTTGAAGGCCAAAGTCTCAAACAACATGTGGAAGACAGTGACCACACCCGTCGTGCAAAGGAGCCAAATGTTCGTATCCAAGAGAATCTCCTTTACCATCTCCCACTCGGTTCCATCTCCACCACCTGGAGGAGGCTTGCCATAGGCAGCCTGCCGAGAACTTTGCTTTGAGCCTTCATCAACACTACTAAGGATGTTGAACTTCCAGTTCGCCATGTTGTTGAGAGTAATATGCAACGGCACAGTCTCGACGGTAGAGTTCAACTCGGTCATGTGGGTCTTTAGTTGCCAGAAAGTGTTGACGAAAGCAATCGGGTAGTACCATCCATTCTTTCCACTGGCATCGCGGGCACCAGTCCGCTCCAGCTGCACATACTGGCGAACCGCGGGGTTCATCTGCGCCAATTTCTGGGTTCCGGAGTCTGGGATCAGGGACAGGGTAAAGTTGGGGTGGTAGTATGACATAGTTGAAACATCCGGCGTGTTATCTTCCTCCTGGTCCTGTTCATCCTCGGGGCCCGACAGAAGGTTCTTTAGCTTCTTGACCTTCTTCTTGGGAAGGTACTGGTTCAGAGGTCGGAGGAAGTGGACTGCATCAGCGGTGTTGTAGTCCTTAGCGGCGGGGTCTAACGGGTATCCGGTGCGAGCCAAAAAGAAGTGAGCCCAGAGAGTTCCATTTTGTTGAACCTGCTTTGGGACCTTGATGGTGGTGTCGATTTCGCGAGTGTCGCTGTAATTTCCAAGTGTGAAGTTCTTCTCGTCCAGCACAAGGATACTGTCTGGTGACTTGAAGTTCGGCACAATGATAGACGGGGTTACATAAACGCTGAGATCGACAGCGCCGTCGGAGGGCCAGATCGGGGCGATGACCTCGGGGAGAGCACTGCGTTCGGCGATTTCGCTGGGATCGGGGCGATCGGCAAAGGCGGGGATGCCACCAGTATTCACGCTGGGAGTGTCTGCCTTGTCCTTATTTCCCATGTACTGGTTGATAGCAAACTGCGCCAACAAGAAGATTCCAAGACCCTGAAGGGCACCCTTGAAGCCCGACTATAAGAGGTCAGTAAATTCAACACAACAACACTAAATTAGCGACACATACGTTGGACTCCTCCTGTCTGCGTGGCCTCTGTTCCGACATGATGGATGAAGAAAAGAAGAGAAGAAGCCAAAAGGCCAGCTAACGTGGGCGATTAGCACGCGATTAGATCGAGGCCCGGGAACTTGCGCGGTCTTGGCATTTGTCTTCCGACCCTCCGGGCATCTTCCATTCTTATACTTGTTTGCTATTAAGCAGCTTTGAAATTGCAATCGCGTAATGGATAGCGCGTTCGGCTGTTGGCGTTGACCCTCATGGACAATAATCCCCCTTTTGATGCCCGCGCGCAATTCCCGTCGCATAATGAGCCTCGAGTATGGCTGATCACCGCGGGGGATTCACCCATTGGCCTCTCAGTCGCGCGGCAGGTCCTTGCGCATGGAGATTATGCATTTCTTGGATTAGCACATTCGGCTTTGGAACGCGATGAACGTCGCCGTGGTGAATTTGATGCTTTTCTCGTTGAGGTGGAGCACCACGGTGATGGCTGGGCACAGCGCATCAAGACAGTTCCGCTAGATATCCGGTGCGCTACATCGAGACAGTCAAGTTAACCATGGATTTTGATCTTAGTGGCTGACAGTTTTCCGACACAGAATGATGGGACAGTGCCAGGCAGTCGTGGCAGATGCAGTCGCGACATTTGGAAGGGTAGACATACTTCTATGCTGTACAAGTCAAGGTGAACCTCCCTGCTTTAAGGTACCCTTGTAAATATATATATTGACCTGCCCTTAAGCCCTTATTGGAACAGTTGAGGAACTTTCTGCCTCAACTCAAACGATGAATCTCGTACGCGATCAATTCGAGGTGAACTATTTCGGCCCCCTCAATATCATCAAGGCCACGCTCCCTCATATGAGGAAAGAGCGCGCAGGGCATGTGATGATAATATCAGGGATTAGTAAGAAACATATCTCGCCCAGCGCTTGGATATTTGTCTGACAATATGCAGCGGCGCATATCGGTACACCCGGACTAGGAATGTACTGCGCAGCTGGCTGGGCCCTCGAAGGATTCTGTGATGTCAGTCTCTCTATGCGAATTTGATTGAAGGATCCTGTTGCAGATACTAACCATCTTTACAGAGTCTGGCTTATGAGATTGCCCCATTCAACGTCAAACTCACCATCTTACAATGCAGCATCGAAATTGGCATCCTCACCAACCTAGTAACCAGCGTTCCTCCAATCTTCCCGGCCTATTCACCCGCCAACAATCAAGCGCCTCTCTTTCGTGGGATTCTAAACCACCTTATCCCCCAACTTCCCGATGCTTCTATTTCATCTGACAGCCCAGTCACACCTAGTCGAGCAACTGATGAAAATGCCCGGGTTAGCTCTATTGAAAATGGACCATTCTCCGCGCCGGAGGTTGTCTCCATGCACCCACCATTAAGCTCCGCACATCTTGAGGTGCTGGTCTCTGAAACTGTCTATGCCATTACATCAATTGCTGGCCATGAAAACCCTCCTTCGCGGCATATCGTTGGACAAGAAGGTGTTGCGAGTGTCAAGGAGAAACTCAAGACTGTGAGTGAAGAACTCGAAGACTTTATACAGGCTAGTTTTGCTGTTGATGTTGCCGCGGACTCAGATCCTATGCCCGCTCTATCTGGAACGAACGACGGGCCTTAGTGGGAAGTACCACCCTACAATTATATATATCTCTCTATTAAACAACTCGCTCAAGTTTTTGATAGGCTGTAGCATTTTCATTCTACCTCGCGGGCAACTTATACAACTCCAAAAACTCAAGAGTCTACCCTGTTTAACAATGTTCTAGGGGTTCTAGGGGTTCCGCGAATGTGGGAATAGTTGCCGAGGGGCAATAGGGCTTGGCATGGATAGCGCTGGCTGTAATGGTGCCTTTCGTTTTGTAAAGCATCGTGCTATGTCGGATCCTCCTTTATATGACCACGGACCTTTGCTCGTTCTGATATAGTCCCTTGCTAAATATGGACTGCAAAACCTAGGTTGCTAACACGCTAGAGACCATTGATGGTTTGATGTGACTATAATTCTTTGCATCCATACTAGACCCTATTTGCTACTTTTTATCTATAGACTATAAGATATTACTAGACCTTGTGGCTCATTTGTTTATTGCAAGCTAGCTATCTTAGCCACATATGGACCATTTCCCATTTCGATCCTTCACATGATATCGAGGGTAGTGTACGTGAAAATCAGATGATCTGGTGTATCGCTATTTCCATGCTAGAATGGAAGGCGGCTACTCAAGTCGTCCATGCTGGAGGAACCAAGTCTCTCGCACGTCAAAGAGACTGCCCATATCCTGGTTGTTTCGGTAGCACCGGATTTCCTTCCAGGCATTCGCCGTACGGCCGTTTGGCATGCGGCCATCGATTTGTAGAATCTTATGGACGAGTGCCTGTGGAGAAGGGAGGTTGTGAACAATGATCTCATCCGGCTCATTGGTAGTGGTTTGAGATGGAGCTGGTACGGGGTCTTTCTGTTGTTCGGTATTTGGGGGTTTATTGATTTCGTCCTGCTTAGCTTCAGCGAGTGCCTCGACGCTGTCCGTAGGTGTATCGAACTGAGCCGGGGATAATTCCAATAATTCCGCTTGATCACCTTTGCCGTTGGTATTGGCAATGGATGACTCCTCTACTGATGTAGATAACTCTAGCGCAAGGAGCTCTGGGAGTTCAGGGGTTGAAGAAAGCACCGACAAAGGGGATTCTGGCTGCGAGGGCTTTGGGTGGGAGGCTTCTGCTGCAGCTTTGCAGTTTTCTTCAATTTTTGCAGCAACAATGTCCATGAAAGGATCATACCGTTGGGACACTGCTATTTCCTGAGACATCTCCGCCTCTCGGGGCGGCTCCGTTTTGGGTTGCTTTGGTGGGTTTTTGCGTGGTCGTCCTCGCTTGCGTTTTACTGGGGGCTGAGGTTCGGGCTCGGGAATTGTGCGCTTGGGTTTTTGATTTCGAGTACCACCGGGGCTGAAAATAATAACGCTGAATGGGATTTCTTGCTGGCTCTTTTCCACATTTGAAGGCGGAACGGCTAGATGTGTGACGGTCTCGGTCTCAAGATTCATCTCGTCAGTGGAAGATGTAGGGATCTCATGTGGCGCTTGTCTATTGTCAAGCTTTATTTCCTCGTCATTGGAAGAAGCAGGGATCTCTTGTGGCGCTTGATCGATTTCGAGATTTACCTCGTCGTTGGAAGGTGGAGGAACCTCCTGTGGCGCTTGATCGGTGCCAAGCTTCATCTGATCGCCATTGGAGGTTGCATTGATGAGCTTTGACTCTGGGTCCTCGTATTTCGACTGTTTATCACTCCAAGATGATGCCACTGGCTCTGGCGGTGTATCGAAATCGACTTTCGCATCTTCCTCCCCCTTCTCTGGTGTTGAAACTGGCTCTGCTTTATCGAAATTGCTGCGAAGAAAGACTCGTTCACCAGGTGGAATAGCAAAAGTCAATTTCACCCCATTACGGCCAAGAACCTGTAACTGTCAACAGATGTCGAAGCTGTATGCGGGGTAGATAGATCTTTACATACCCTGACTTCCTTTTCGATAACAACCCTGCCGGGACCTCTACCGTAAACATAGTAGAATTTCCAGATGTCGCCCAATTGAATGACACCTTCATCGAGAAGAGTTCCCATCTTCACACGCGCACTTTCTCCAGCAGGTGCATGCGAATCGACTCTCTGCTTTTGTCCCCAGAACTGCTCATATTCGCGCTCTTTGAAGTCATCAAATTCGCCGTTTTCGCGCCGCTCCCTGGCTTCCTGCGCCTGGTGTAGCCATTCCGGGTCGTAGCGGCCGTTTTGGAGATCGAGCTGGAATTGTCGAACGCCGTCGCGCCAGTTGTTTGAATAGCGAATAAAAGAGTCGGGTATGGGTTGTATCTTTGCATCTGGGTCATCTGATGTAGCTTGTGCCTCCGGGTGAACATCTGGAGGGAGTAGAGCGAGGATATCGCGCTTATCGCTTTCCTCAAGGCAGTTCCATGCTTCAGGTCGTGCGAGCAGTTTCTAGACGTTTTGAGCTTTTCATTAGATTGGATAATATGGTACCATATTTGTGAAGGATTAGCTCATACCACTAGATCTAAGTCAACGAGGAGGGACTTGTCGCTAGTCAATAGCTGCTCCTCGCTCCATTTCCCTCTAACGGCGGGCCTTCTTGGGGTTCGGGCTCGTGAGCTCGTTTCAGATTTCGGGGTCGACATGGCGAGACCCGACTGTTCTGCTACATTGGCAGAACTAGCAGCAGCACGACTAGGGCATTATTATAAGACGTTAGTAGACAAGATAACAAAAAGCAAATGCGGAGCTTACCCCGAACGTCGTGGTTCTGCCGCACGGGACCTCTCTACCGCCTTCGTGTCTCTCTTCCTCGGAGCCATTCTCACGGCAAAACAAAGGAGAGTGCTGTCCTTCGGAACAAGAAGCAACGTTTTCAGGATGGTCAGATCAACACAGATTGCAAGGCTTGATGGTGAGGAAGTCTCTGAGAGGTCGTGAGGAGGCGGAGTGCTGATGTCAAAGTGAAATAGGCCTTATGCTGGCTGCTTCGGTCGACGACGAGCAGGTACGTGACAATGATTATTTAAGCGGATTGTGAGCTTACAATACCCGTAGGCTGAATCGGAGCTCTCTGAGATTAAGGGTCAGGCTAAAATGATATTTCGCCGCTTGAATCGCAATTCAGCACCCCAAGCCAGTATTGAGTCTGGTCAATACAGTCTACAGTGAGTTGCACCCATCAATCAGCAAACATGATCAATGGACAATTTCTCACTTAGCTTGCAGCTACACCATCCAGGATGATATCTGCTTTTTATGCATTTGCGACAAGTCCTACCCCCGCAAACTCGCATTCACCTATCTCGCTGATCTGGCCTCCGAATTCACGACTACCTATACCTCCTCACAATACCTCTCACCCACCCTCCGTCCGTATGCTTTTGTCGAGTTTGATACATTTATTCAACGCACAAAGAAGCTGTACCAAGACAGTCGCGCTTCTCAGAACCTCGACAAGTTGAACGATGAGCTCCGTGATGTTACCAAGGTGATGACGAAGAATATCGAGGACCTCCTGTATCGAGGCGATAGTTTGGAGCGGATGGGTGAGCTCTCAGGGCGGCTGCGCGAGGACAGCAAGAAGTACAGAAAGGCAGCTGTACGCATCAACTGGGAATTGTTGCTGAAGCAGGTGGGTCTATACTTTGCGCCAGATTTCCCCTGGACGATTGGCTAACCATCTCATAGTACGGACCTTTCGCTGGCGTTGGGCTTGTCATTTGCATTCTTCTTTTCTGGCGATTCTTCTGATTCCTTGCTCTCCGTGACCATGCTCATAGTCCTGGCTGTATGAATGTACGCATAGTTAATACCTCGGTGATTGCGGGTTACAATCCGCCGATTCTAGAATATGGAGAATTGCGTGTAAACATGAATCGTATTTGATGATCTCTAAATCTCATCCTCTTCTTCGTCGAAATCGTCTTCTTCTCCCATGTCGTAAAGAATCCGGCCTCCTTCGCCGGGGCCATCATTATGCTGTGCGTCGAAGTATGGCAACACAACACCTTCTCTTTCGCGCCTTTGTCGGTCGGTGAGACCCAGCTCGAAGGTTGATGTCGGTTCCTCATCGCCGGCGCTTGGATCTCGCTCCATGGGAGGGTTGTACAGAACATTATCGTCAAGCAACGTCACAATCTCTTTCAGATGCTGTGGCGAATACCGCGACGCAGGCGGGAGAAGGTACCATTCTAGTACACCCCGGCCACTCTTCCGCCTATGCTCCAGCTCAATGACAATTCCCTCAGCTTTGCCAGTACCGGCCAATTTGTCCAATCGGCCGAGGAGAACGCCCTCTTGCTCTTCGTCAAGCCCGAAGACCGGAGGAGCCAGACTGCGGTCGCGAGCAGCCTTCTGTGCTAGGACGTGCGAGAATGAATGGAGTGTGATGATACTCGTAGCAAGATACGTCAATACAGAGATAGGTGGAGGTGAATAGGGACTTTGCTGTGGAAGTTCGGGGACATCTTGGTGGTATGTCACCACAAGTGATGCATCAACCTTGGCCGATGGCAACGAGGGAGCAATAAAAGAGCCAAGGAAAGAGGGCAAGTGGAACCCAGGGTCAACCCTTTTTGAGTTCAAAAGAGGGTTAATTGAATCAATGAGGATAAGACGCCCTATAAAGGCAGTAAGCATGAGTCCACTAGCGGGGTAAATGCGCAATGCTTACTGCGTGAGGGGTTGGAAGCTGCAACAGGCTGATAAACCGCGCTCACTTCTTTAACTATATCAGCGGGACTCTTGCGGCGTGTTGATACAAAAGCATCGACTCCATCGGGTTTCTTCAGGGTTTCGAAAGCGATGAGCGTGACATGGACTTTGGACAGCTGTCGAACTAGTCAGTATGGGTGTCCACTCCCGTGTATGGCGACACAAGTGTCGGTTATGGTAGCACTCCAAGCCAATATACCTTTGCACGTCTAATATATTCTTTCAGGAGTGGCGTAGCCGGTTGCTCCAAAGAATCCAAGACAAGTGTGAGGGGCGACGCAGTGTCGCGCAAGCTCAATAGTTTCGAAATCAAGAGCAAATTGTGCGTGCGCCTGTGTGAAAGGTTGATAGGTGCCATCTCCTTTTGATATTAGATACTGTTCTCGTCCAATTACTTTCTGGGGACGCAGGTTGAAAACACACAGGAAGTGGGGTTGCGCTGCGAAAATTTCGTGGTGGAATTTAAAGTTGGGGCTCGACGGGCCGGCCCGCGGGCTGCAGCACTTTCACCTGCGCAGTGCCCTTCCTATCTTTAGGGCTGTTGGGTCAGTCTGTGCATGGATGTTACAGATCTATTGCATCAATTAATTTGGACTTTCCCCCCCCTCTTGAAGTAACAATCACCTAGAAGTTTTGGTTGTTCCATTTATACCTCCACGGAAGCGGAAGAAGTGAAATAATATGTAGTGCGGAAGACATATGTCAAATCTTTGGCACAAGTAAGCACCTCTACGTAACGAAATTTGGCATAAAGGACTAGTAGGCCTCTTGAGATACTAGTTTCTCATTTTCATGATAAAATACTCTTCATTAGTGAGAGATACATCAATACAGCTGGGGTCACCGGTTTGGTATTCAGTACTGTTGTTAGACACCGTTGCATATAATAAATCGAAGACGCCCGCACAACGTGCATATGTTTTAGCTGCCTAGATTTCAGCTACAACAACAATATGGAGGAAATATCTAAAGAAAAGACATCTAAAATGACTTTGAAAATGACTACCGACAAAGACAGCACAAGGCCGCACAAGCGGGCGACTATTCTTATGTATACATAGGTATTAAAGACATGTATTTAGTGAGCCAATTTAGATCTATACATGTGGCATATAGAAGAAAATCTTTAGAGAGCAGTTGCTAGCAAAGGAAGCCGCTGCTCCGGCTCTGTGACTCTGTTTTTTACCCCTTTTGTGGAAATCTGGAATATTGAAGTCTCAGCTCAAGATTAACCTTGGAAACTGTCACTGCATACCTGATAGATTGAAAATCAAACACATGATTTCGCTACGTAGTTCCCGTCAGTGCCGTTAGTCCCCGAGGAATACTTATCCAAGAACGATCATACAAATACGAATATTTTCACAACGAAATGAGAATTAAAGGATGCATCTTTTTTTAAATCAGATATATGATACACTATGATGTAAATTATTTCTGAGGTAATCCGTACTCCCTGCATCACTATCTGATCCGACCCTTTCTCCACTTTCCCATTGCCGTCACGATTCATACCTCATGTTGCCTTTTCGGACCACATGAGTCTGACTCTAGCGCTGAGTATACATTTCCTTCTCAATTTGTTTTAAATCGTAGTTTATAGCAATCATCGTTGGGAAGCCTCGGCTGCCTATACCGATTTCCAGGCAGCTTCGCCAAAAGCGGACTTAGCGCCTGCTCTGCCTGGAACTAGCCCGTTTCTGCCTAGACCCACCCTATCAAGGCCGAGTACAAAACCTTGGATACTACCCCTGGACACGAATGATTTAAGTATTATTATACCAGCTTTCTCCGTCAAGATGTCTTTAAATTCCAATCCACAGCTTCGAATGCCCGGGTTCAATGTAAAGTTGAACTGCCAGCCCGATGTGAGAACCTGGACCTTCCTTCCGCATTATTCATCTGCTAACAAACCAGCGAAATGTGATCCAAAACTGGTATCACGGCTTTCCCAATGCATTGGATGACAATGAGTTACAAGAAAGCTACTTGAAGTATGTTTCAATGGTACTATTGGCGGGATGTCGAGTTGACTTTGCTTCCCAGCGACTTAGTGACTCACCGAGAAGTTCTGATGATGCGAGTGGTTAACACCATTACTGATAAGCCACAATGGGACCAGAAGGTGCGGCTGGGCTTGCACTTATATTCTTTGGCTTCAATGGTTGTTTCTAACTCCCTGTAGGTCTTTGATAAGAATATCACGACGAAATGGCGTGACGAGATTGCCCAAAGTGGTCAAGATGTGACTCCTAAGATGATGGATTGGATCATTGAAGAGCTTCAATGGAAAGCTAACATCCTTAAAGAGACGGGCCACGTCTGCGTTTTTGATGTGGGTGTGATCAAGTCCGATACCGCCGTGTCGAAAGAGTTACAACAGTCACTTAAAGAGGCTGTGAAACCTCTCGAGGATATGCCGGAGAAAGATTACCACCCCGGTTCTGATAATAAAGTGGTTGATCTGGTGCATCCCTCACTGTTCCCTGTGATCTACGGACAAACTCGCGTTCTTCCGGACAGAGTTATTGGGCTTGATGACTGTCTGGGAAGCGTGGGACAAGGAGATCTCGTACCCGTTCCTTCGAGTCAAAATTGTGGACCCATTTTGAATAGCCGACACCATTATCACAGTGAAGAACAAATATGTGTCTTCAGCGATAAGTTTCAATGGCTCCCGTGCGATGTGGAAATTATCGATGACGCCAGATGTCGAATCGTGTCATACATCAATAACGCCCACCCAGTTCACCATAAGCCTCTCTACGAGGTTGTTGAGAAAATCATCGCTCAGGCAATCCCCCTCTGGAACCGCAGTCTGTCTGTAATCCTCGAACCAAGAATGGAGTACACCAATGTCGAATATGGCGAGCATCCAGAACCTGAGCCTGTTCAGCCGGAGGGGGATGATCATGACGAAGATGAGTTTTGGGAACTCCATGAGCAGTGGGAAAGTACCCGTCCTATTATTCCTCCCGAGCCAGGCAGCTTTCAACCTCGAAAAGAAATCTTTAGTGCTAATCTACGAGAGCAATTTCCCGGCAAGAAGCTGCAAATCATCGTGAAACTGGCGAACATTACATTGAGCCCGGACAACCCGGAGTATGAAGGAGGCTCTTGGCACATTGAGGGACAGTTGGTAAGAGTTCCGCATCCTTTCGTTAACTGTTTATTCTAATCTTGAACAGAACGAGCGCATCTGCGCTACTGCAATCTACTACTATGACAGCGAAAACATAACCGACAACTCCTTGGCATTTCGTCAACGCGGTATGAAGTATATGCTAGAGATTGGATACGAACAAGGGCAGTTCGAATTCTTACAGGCCGTCTTTGGCTTTGACGACCAGGTCAACGGTAGCGGGAATAATCGCGATATCACACAAGATCTTGGAGCTGTCGCTTGCAAAGAAGGTCGGCTACTCACCTTCCCGAACACCGTCCAGCACCGGGTTTCCCCATTCTCGCTGGTCGACCCGTCTAAGCCCGGCCATCGGAAGATTCTCGCGCTATTTCTAGTTGATCCCCATCGTCGGATTATCTCCTCGGCCAATGTGCCCCCGCAGCAGGAGGATTGGGGTTACGAGAGACAGGATGCTGTGAATCAGGCTTTAGCAAGTCTACCAGCAGAGCTACGGGATATCGTTCAAGATGACTTGGACCCTGTTATGACCATGGAGAAGGCCAAAGAGTATCGATTGGAGCTCATGAAAGAGCGCGGGCACAGATCGGGAAAACACAATCAGCATTTCGAGACCGGTGACTTCAATCTGTGTGAGCATTAAATGCGAACTCCAATAGCCGAACTAACTCAGGCTCATGGCATGGCTTTACCGGTCTACCTATGTAAATATAAAAATGGTGTTAATATTACCTAGTTTCTGATTGTGAAATGAACATCATGTGTTTGCATTTTTTTAGTTGAGGTTCCAAGCAGTATCAATTCTAATTTTGAACCTTTTTAAACTTGCATGTATTTTTAATCACTATATCCTAGGTAAGAAGTACTTTAGGGGACTAGATACATGGCTCAACTATCAATCTTTATCCGCATGCGCCTCATGGACCTCCGTTGCCTCTCCCTCATACGGATCAACGATGGTGGTCGCGAATTTCCTCGCTGGAACTCCACGCTCAAAGAGCAAATCTAGTTCCTCATATGTGCGACCCTTCGGCTCGGGAAGTCGGAAGAATGCCCAAACCAGGGAGGCCAAACACGTACCAGCCCAGAAATAAGCACACCGAGCACCCCAGTCCCATGCCGTGGAGTTGAGCTGATAGTTTGTCAGGACGTTGACGACAATGTTACTGATGTTGTATAGGCAACGGGCGAGGACGATAGTCTTGGCTTTGAGGCGGGTGGAGGATAATTCTGAGACGAGGGAGTATGTGACAGGGCCGACACTGATGTCGTAGCAGAATGTGAAAATGATGAGCATCACACCGATTGCCCATTTGGCTGCGTTATTGTCCCCTGGAGCAAAAGATAGAGATCCTGTGATGATCAGAAGGACGAAAAGACTGGCGAGACCGGAGATGTGAATAGTTCGTCGGCCCGCGTAGGACATTAGGAACCATGATCCTATTGTACCCAAAACACCGAGACCGTATTGCCCCAGGGACAGGTTGAAAGACTGAACAGTTGGAAGACCCGCTTGGACACAGAAGTAGGCGAAATAACCCATCAGGTTCTGGCCACATAGGGTCTGCACTAACCAGACAAGACAAACGACCTCAGTCCGACGAAGATTTGTTCCCTTGAAGCAGTCCCAATATGTGGTGCCACTAGAAAGCGATTTCTCCAACTCGTTTGTGTGTTGAATCATAGCAATCGTCTCTTCAGGGTCAAAGTTGGGGTCATTGGACGATGTCAACCGCAGCAACGCTCGTCGAGCTCCTTCCACATTACCCTGGCGCACATGCCACCAAGGAGACTCGGGTGCGAAAAGACAGCCGATAATAATTGGAATCGGCCACACCCATTGCACACCAAAAGGAATGCGCCAAGCCCATTGATCATCGCGAGAAATGCAGGCGCGGTTGACACCAATGGCTACGAACTGCCCGAATACCCAACACATGTTGATAAAAGTTGTCAGGTAAGGTCGCAGGACAACTGGGCAAACTTCGGAGGCGTAGGCAGCTGGCAAGGTCTGGAAGATACCCCAAGGGATACCGGCGAGAATCTCGGCCACTAGCAACATCTTAACATTGACTGCGAAGAAAAACAGAAAAATGACCGCAGTGATGGTGGACAAGGCACAGACCATGGTCTTGCGGTACCCCAGGCGTTCAGAGACCAAACCATTGATCAGAAGTCCAATGACTTCACCACAGCGTGCACCATTGGAAAGACCGGATTGCCAGGATGCCGGAACAGCCCATTTCCCCGAGGCACTCTGTTCTCCGAACTTTTGGTTGAACGCAGGTGATGCGTACATAGAGCTCAGCAATGCGAGGTCATATCCTTCCATGATCAGGGTAGACGAAAGGAGGACTGACCAGCCAACAGCTTTCGGGTATAGCCGCAAAGCCTGCCAGAGCGTCATGGACTGCTCCTTCCTGGCTGCTTGTCTACCCTCTGCAAGGATGGGGGAGACTTTGCCGTCCATTCTTGCGGATGCCTCGTCCATCGAGACCATTGAACAAGTTTGTCGTGGTTTTGAAGCTGGATGGGCCCGTTTGATAGCGCAAGCTAATCAAGGAGTTTGAAACAAGAGTTTTTTTTTTCGTCAAGGCCTGTTCAGAATCGAAGGCTGATGATATCCCGATACTTTAGGCATTATCAAAGACGATAGATCGCGGGGCGATGCGTGATTTATACAAAAAGAGCTCAAGGAAAGAATACATGCATACTTCAGTTCACGCGCATCGTGGATCCGGGGAAAGTGCACATGGTCTGTTGCTCGCTTCTGGAGATTGGAGAAAACCGGGGAACCCGGAGTGTGGGGGCCCAACAGTGACCAATCATTGCACCGGAAAGGCGTCTGTCGGCGGCTAGTCGGTCCCTAGTCGGAGATATAGCATCGAACCGGAGCCTTGGCGGGTATGCAGGGTCTTGTGAAGATACCCCCGCGTTTACGTAGGCCGAGTTGGTGCCGAGTTATGATGGAAAGGTATAAGAGGGGTGTCGGAATGAAAAATGGAGATTCCAAGCCACTATGTCACCACACGCGACACAGGACACCGCCGTTCCTACGGGGACCAATAACTGGTGGAAAGAAGCCACTGTCTACCAGGTTAGTTGCCACAACATTCAGGAATCCAAGAAATCATAGAATTGACGTTGTCTGTTCGAGTTAAAAGGTATATCCGGCTTCATTCTATGACTCCAATGGTGATGGCTGGGGCGATATTCCAGGCGTTGTTAAAAAGGTCGATTACCTTCAATCGCTAGGTGTTGATGTCGTGTGGCTATCGCCGATGTACGACTCACCTATGCACGATATGGGTTATGACATCTCCGACTATGAAAATGTACTTCCTGCTTATGGAACCGTACAAGATGTAGAGAATCTTGTGGAAGCATGTCACTCGCGAGGCATGAAACTGATTCTAGACCTTGTCGTCAACCACTCCAGTGATCAGCATGCTTGGTTCCAGGAAAGTCGGAGTAGCAAGGACAATGAAAAGCGGGATTGGTATTTCTGGCGCCCTCCTCGATATGATGAGGCAGGGAATCGGATGCCTCCGAGTAATTATCGGGGTTATTTTGCAGGAAGCACATGTGCGTTGAAATTTTTGACAGTATTCAATCGCTTTGAACTAACGAAGTTATTATCTAGGGACTTGGGATGAGAAAACGGAAGAATATTACCTGCATCTCTACGCGAAAGAGCAACCCGACCTCAACTGGGATAACAAGGCCACACGTGAGGCTATCTACAACAGCGCGGTTCGATTCTGGCTAGACAAAGGTGTCGACGGTTTCCGAGTGGATACAGTGAACAAGTACAGCAAACACACAGACTTCCCAGACGCCGCCATCACAGATCCTAAAAGTTACATCCAACCCGCCATCGGAATGTGGTGCAACGGCCCCCGGATTCACGAGTTCCTCCGCGAGATGTATGACGAGTCATTTGCTCCGTACGGGGATGTCATGACTGTCGGCGAACTCGCCAATACACCCGATCCCAAGAACGTTCTCGAATATGTGGGAGCATCAGCCAAGGAGCTGAGCATGGTCTTCCATTTGGACATTGGCCATATTGGCATGGGACCCAGCCTGGAGGAGAAGTACATTTTTACGCCGTGGAAGTTGACGAAAATGAAATCCATTGTGGAGAAGTGGCAGACTTTCATCGAGGGAACGGATGGCTGGACCACCGCTTTCTGTGAGAATCACGATAACGGACGCTCTGTCTCTCGGTTTGGATCGGATGCACCCGAGTTCCGGGAGATTTCTGCTAAAATGCTGGCTCTGATGATGGTTACCATGACTGGGACTTTGTTCATCTATCAGGGTCAGGAGATTGGTATGATCAACGCACCACGCGAGTGGCCCATCGAGGAATACAAGGACATTGAAGGATTAGGGTATTACCGAGAAGCAGAGCAACGCAGTGCAAGTGGAGTTGATCTTACTCGCAAAGAGGAAATCATGGATGGCCTCCGAATTCTGGCCCGCGATCATTCCAGGCTGCCGATGCAATGGGATGACTCGGAACATGCTGGTTTTACTACCGGGAAACCGTGGATGCGAGCTCATGATCTTTATGGTGAGATCAATGTAAAGAAGCAGCAGAAAGATACATCAAGCGTTTTGTCTTTCTGGAAAGATGTTCTGCGTCTAAGGAAAGAGTACCGGGAGTTGTTCATCCACGGTGCATTTGAAGTTCTTGACTACGAGAATCAAGAGACGTTTTGCTTTGTGAAGTCGAGAAATCATGAACGAGCATTGGTCGTTCTGAACTTCACTGATCGATCTCAGCCATTCACGCAGATCGAGAAAACTGCGGGCATGAAGTTGCTTGTGGGAAACTACTCCGATTCATCGCTGGAAAACTTGAAGCCCTTCGAAGGACGCGTCTATATCTGAGATATCTCCATAAAGAACTAATCAGAAATATATTTGTACCAATATTGATTGAAACGTTACTTTTCTAGGATACTATTCTGCATAGTACCTTTTACAGATGGACACGATATATCTCGAAGCTGGTAGCCTGTTAGCAATCTTTACCTTGTAGTCCATCAGGAACTCCTAACAATAATTTAATGAGGCTCTAGTATTTGCTTCTCGCTTTATTAAAAAAAAATGCTGTAAAGAGGTAATTTCCGCAATAATTTGAAAGCCACACTGAGATCGGGGGGCCTGAACGGGATGTTGTGGCCTGACAAATCAGGCCACAACACTTAGGCTTTTCTCCCGGCTTCTTCCCGACTTCCCCCCGCGACCCCGGATTTGCGTTGTGCTAGTTCTTTTGGTAAATTTAAACCTGACTTTCCAGATGCCAGACCCACCGGTCAAGCAGGCATGTGATGCATGTCGCCGACGCAAGGTCAAATGCATTTTACCAAAACCCTGTGGGCAGTGTCGGGCTGCAGGCTTAGTCTGTCGGACGTCTTCACAGCGGCAGAAAAAGGGGCGACAAGGCCAAACAGCCAACATTCTTAATGAGCTCAGAGCACAGGAAATTGAACAGGCGCTAGTGCGGGATGCGAATATTTCTCCGCCATCAGCAGCTCTCAGGCTTGGGGATAGTATACCAACGCCCCAGTCATTGCAAGCCTCGGGAAGATGTCAGTTCTCGAAAACACCTCACCTTTTAAGCCGGGAGCTTGTCGACGCCTGCTCGGAATATTTTTTCTCCCGAATGAGAGGAACGGTGCCCGTTTTGCAACCCGGCAGTTTTCAGAAACAAGTGGACCTTGCCGATACGTCCCTCCATGCTTATTGTTTCGTCACTGCTTTCTGTGCCTTTGTGGTTACTCAGACCGGATTTGCCGTGGAGCATGCATCCTTGGAATTCTCTCGGGATTTTTGTACTAAAGACTACCGGAATTCCCTAATTGAGGAAGCCACTGAAGCTCGAAAGCATATCGATCCATTCACAGATCCTGTACGGCAAAGCATTATCATCGCTTTCCTTCTGTATGGATGTCATATTGGACTGGGAAATCAACGGCATGCATATTACTTTCTCCGCGAGTCCACAACGCTTTATACAGCCAGCGCGCTGCAAAGTCAAGCATCATCAGCCCAGGTGGATGACGATGACCCTTCCTTGGCAGGCAAATTGTTTTGGCTCTTAGTCGTATCCGAGAGGTATTTTCTTCGCCTTTTAGCTAGTTATTTGCTAATACAGAGACAGAGCTCATGCGATCCGTCGACATAGACCAATCACGCTCCAGGTCACCCCCGAAAGCCCTCAATTAGAAGATGATCCACTTTCAACTCCGCTGGAAGATGATCCAATTGCAAATTCATCAGCCATCGGGTTTCGGTGTCTTGTAAACCTCTACAGCCTATTTGATGAAGGCTTTCTGGGCCAGTGGAATGGAACGAATGCCACATGCTCGATTGAGTCGCTAGTTCGCCTTGAGGAGCGCATCCAAAGTGCAGTCCCGGCGGACCTTGATCTGCCTGATATACTCATGGCAGACTTGCGTGTGTCCCAGCAGTGGCTGCGGATCATGATATGGCAGCTTTCTACAACTGCTGGGTTTCTTTCGACAAATCCTACACATGAATGCATGGACTTTCGCTACCCCCTCCTAATTGCTCAAGATCTCTGCTTCGCAACATGGAAATTGTCCAGGCAGAGTATGGAAACCCATGGAATTGGTCTTGTATGATTTACCCTTATAAACATACCAAGTATATGCTAACATCTTGTAGATTGAAAAAATATTCGAGGTGGCTTGCACCTTGATTGATGTTATGGCATGCCTCTCAGCAGCTGGGCTCCGTTCTTCGGGCTTCAAGCTTGGCCCGCAGGACTATCTCAAGCATTTTTCTACCCTTATTCACGATCTTCCCGGGGGACGCCGAAGGTTTCTTCCACTGCTACTTACCAAAATAGGGCAAACTCTGCCATCCATGGTAGACCCTATTACCGTTCATCTCAAACTCCAACCCAGCCCCCTTGCTCCGAGCTCTACCAGTGAGGAATCATCAATATCCGCCATCGCCGAAGATGCCGGCTCAACTGAACAGCCCTCTACTGAATTACTTTCCGAGACTGAAAATTGGATGAACGGTAACTTCAACTATGCGGAGATGAGCCGCATTGGTGAGAAAACTCCAGAGATTGACGAGGCATTTCTCCAATACTCCAGTTATTTTCCCTGAGACCTGAAAAGTGCACTACGCCTACCGATATTTTAGATATTGCAAACCTCCAATAACTTTTCTGCAAATCTTGGATTTCGAGTTTCTTCTGGTATTTCTTCCGGATCAAGTTCAACAATTATACCAGGTGCATGGACGTGGGGCCGACACTCCTAAGCGAAAAGGCGTTGCTCTGAGAGATGCTGCAAGGCTTTTTTCCTTGCTCTCAAACATGGCTGCAAGAATATTGCTGATTTCGACCGCCAATGATCTGGTGCTTGGAATTTCACAGCAGTCATTGACTGAAGAGCCCCCCTTGCGGTATCCCTGAAGGCCTGTTTAGCTCATATCAGATAGCCGACCTTCAAGCTGCTGTCGATCAACTTTCTTTGACACCGTGAGTGGCATGGACTTCATTGGCACAACCGCGGTTGGAATCATATGTTTGGACAGGAATTTGGACAGCTGCTTATACATCTTTTTGGCCAGTTGACCCTCCTGGTAATCTAATCGGTTGTTTTGATGAAAGCAACAATCTCGGCATCCTGAGAATCGTGTTTAGACAAGCTCACTTCCGGGCGACCGGACTTGAGGCATGACTTTGTTGCATTTTCAACCTCTACCCCATTCACGCGCAACTCCCGGATCTTGACGTCTCCAGTTTTACGACCCAAAAGAACCATGTCGCCATTCTCATTGTCCCTGGGGAAATCATCCGTACGGTATACTCAACTCGATTCAAGCTGAGGCATGAGAGACTTCCATTCTCGGGACAAAGAATTTGAAATGGCTTGTGCTTCATGGTCTGGGCCCTTTAATTACCCGGATGCGTGAGATTGGTGTCTGAAGTGCTATGCTAGTACCTCAGGAAGGTTGATAACTAACTAGCTACCTACATAGTTGGTTCTGAGAGCCTGTGTCTCCCAAAGAAGCTGCTCTCTGCCCCTCTCTCTGCCCCTCGCCGTATAGGCTTAAGACATTTAAATCAAGGAAATGGATTTTGTGTTACCGAACTATACTACTATTTTTGAAAGGACTACTCCCCTCCCCATTAGGCTCATTTCCCGGGTTTTGACCTTTTGGACTATCTATCGTACGAGTGAACTTAAACCAACTGCGGTACTCCAGTGACAGATACAAAACTGTAACGCTTCCAATGTCAAATAATTGGTGATATCATACTCTTGGCCTCTCTTGTTATTTAGAAACCTTCTTACGAGGTTAACTTGATTTGTGGCATGCGCCGTGTACAGACTCTTTTGGGTATAGATGGGCATCAACTGTGTCTTCAGGGCTCCATTCTTGGCTTTCAGCTAACTGGGGTCTCCTCTGGGCTACTGACCTCGGGATGCCAATTCTTGGCGTAAGCAAAATGCACTCCCGAGGTCCAGTCCAGGAGAATCAAGTGGAGGTTACTTTTGAGAGAAAAAAAAAAGTCATCGAAATGTTACGGGTCTATTGCATTTGGAAAAAAGGATTAATGACGGTACGGTATAAGCCTTGTGATAATATCAGATTTGCAGCAGGGTTTCTACGTCAGCAAAATAGATATCAGTAACAGGGTTCCCGCAAAGACTAGTAGTAGGTACATTGAGGGTTAAAACATTTAATATACGCAGGTGGTGGATCTTTACACACTGTAGCTTTGGACATCGCGAGGTACCTACTGCGTAATTAGCAAGAGGTGGATACTCAAGGCCTTAAATGTAACATCAATAGTATGGAAATTTAACGGTTTGCAAAAAAACTGCTGAAACTTTCATACAATACGATCTGATAAAGCGGTAACTTTACGTTACCAAGGATCATTCCCGGCCCGGGGACCTCGGGCAGCGGAGACCCTATTTTTATCTGATCAGACTTTTGTGGAGTTACCGGGCTTGACATTTAGGGTCCAAGTTTGATGAAAAAGGCATCTCGTGCTGTGATTTCACACAATGCGCGATTTTCACCGGAATTTCCGGCTGAAGAGTCCCACTATATCAAATCAATAGACTGAAAAAGTACAGAGAATTATCGCTGGCTCTTCAGAGTATTTTTACATACGGGTCCTCAATCCCAGCCAGACCTTTTTCACCTTTTACCTAGTTACCTAGTTACCTAGTTACCTAGAATGCCGGCCGTCTTGATCTCTATCGGCTGATCAGCTTATTTCATCTCTATCGGACCATTGCATGGGCTACTACAGGCTTTGAAAATCACGATCAACTGATTCCTTCTCCGCAACACGCCGATTGCTCAATTACTGAATAATGGATATCAGTCCACATGAAGAAAGTCTATGTCACGCACATTGTATGGACGGGATAATTTCCCTCCGTGGATCTTAGAACGTCTCGAGTATTCGGAACTTGCCCGGTTCTTTTGATCTGCTTGACGGGAACTTTCCATTTCTTGGCAGGGTTCTGAGCGAATTTAGTTCGTGTGACAAAAAGGCTAGATTGATATACTTGCCGCCCGTGCGGGGACTAGATATATTGCCAAGAATTAGGTGTAGCACCCACTAGGCCGTTTTTGCTCGGCACAAAAGCTCCAAGGACTTTGTGCAAAGTATATTTACTAGCTTTAAAAACGCCATCACCTGTTCGATGCAGAGAAGATTCCCGTTGGGCAGAATGATTCCGAAGGTGAAAACAGCCACATATTCTAGCGCGATTTGAACCTGCATGGTTGGCAGCAAGCAATTCGGAGGGATTTAAACCACGAAGCTTTTTTTGAGAATCGAAAACTCTGCCTCTTCATAAGGTATGTAGGTACCGGTCCAACCCGGGGATGACTCCATCATGGCTTGGACATAAAGTAAGTGGATCCAATCTGATAAGGGCTCTAATATTTTACATATGTACCAAGCAATTTATAGTGATTCAAAACCCACGAAGGTTTCTTGGTATTCAAAAACTTTTTAGGCAATTCCATCTTCACAAGTAAGGTAGCGGTCCGCTCATAATGGCCCCATCGTGGCTTAGACCTCACAGTGGATCGAATCTGATAAGGGTCCTAGTATTTTATGTATCAAGCAATTCGGAGTGATTTAGAACCCATGACTCTTTTTGGTATTGAAAATTTAACTAATCAATTCCGCTCCGAGGTTCATAATTACCGCTCCAACTCCGGAAGTACCCCGTCGTGGCTTGAGACATAAAGTGGGTATGTAGAATCTGATAAGGGTCATGGTATTTTATTGTGGAGTGAATGTATGTATTTTTGCACCTGACTAATGTACAGCTGTAAAATACAGATCAACAATGCAACATTGGAGCTCCTGAAGTTTTCACTGTGACTGTGTGGGATCTAGTGGCTCAGTAGCGGGAAGGTTTCCAGGGCAAGGCTCATACGCACCTTGAGCAACGCCCTAATTTGCTTGCTTTCCGTAAAAGCCCCTTTCTATACTCACGGAAGCCTCGAGAAGCAGTCATGCAGACCTCGGAGACTGTCGATGGCGATGGACTGGATAAAAAGACTGCGACTGGACCAGGACAGTTGTTTGTACGAGATTTATGTCAATATTCCAAAGCAATTCATATACTAACTCATTCAACAACAGATGAAGCCTGCCTCCATGCTCGTTTCCAAGTTGAAGGAGTTGAAAACAGCATTTTCATTCATCCGCCTTCTTTTTTCATTGAATTACACCAAGTTTGATGTCTTACTCGTTACAGTGGGAACATTCTTCGCCATTGCCGCAGGCGTCCCTGAGCCGTTACTTGGTATCGTGCTTGGTCAACTCATCAACGAACTCAACGAAGTCTCCTGTTCCGCGACGGTGTACGATCCCTCCTCCGTTCGAAAGAAAGTCCTCTATCTCATTTACATCACCATCTTCAACTTTGCGGCCATCTACATTTATGCCGCATGCTGGGCTCTTGTGAGCGAGCGAATCGCCCGTCGTTATCGCAAAGCTTACTTTCGCAGCGTGATTCGTCAAGAAGCAGCATTCCACGATAGTCTGCCCTCTGGTCAGGTCATCTCTCGACTGGTCAGTGATATTGAGACATTGCAATCGGGAACTTCAGAAAAGGTTGGAATCTACATTGCTACGCTATCATACTTCGTCACAGCGTATGTTGTGGCTTTCATCAAAGTTCCTATCATTGCAGGCATCCTGATTGCGGTGATTCCATGCTTCTTTGCCATGGCTCTTGTTGGAGGCCGCCTTGCTTCACGATATGGTACCCGTGTGGGCAAGCAGGTAGACCTCGCAACTTCAATTGCATCATCCAGTCTCTCTCACTTGAAGATTGTACATGCATTCAATGCCCAAAAACGCCTAGAAGACCTCTTTTCTTCTCATCTTATTCAGTCTCGAAAGGACGCGTTGAAAAAAGCGGCTGTGCATGCCACGCAAATGGGGACGCTATTCTTTATAGTCTACTCTTCAAATGCCTTGGCCTACTGGAAAGGTGCTCATTTGATAGCAGACTCTGTCGATGGGTTGAACTCCGGAGTCTCCATTGGCGCAGTTTATACTGTGATCTTTATTCTGATTGATGGTAAGCTGCCTATCAACCTAATTACCTGACTCTCTTGGCTCACTCGCTGATACAAATAATAGCCACCTTCATCTTCAGCCAAGTTTCCCCTTATATGCACGTTTTTAGCGCTGCTACCAGCGCATCGAGGCGTCTGCTGGAGGTAATTCACCGGGATTCCAGTATAGATGGCACATCACTTATTGGAGAGACAAGTGTGAACTTGAGCGAACAAGAGATTATCTTCAAGGATGTTCATTTCACATACCCTGCTCGGGCGGAGGTTCCAGTCTTGCAGGGGTTGAACTTGTCCATCCCTCCAAAGAAACACACCGCGTTTGTCGGTCCATCGGGAGGTGGAAAGTCTACCGTCGTTGCACTCCTGGAACGATTCTATGATCCATTAAGCGGAACCATTTCGGTCGGGGAACAAGATTTCCAAGACTTGAATGTGGCCAGCTTGCGAAGCCAAATGGGATTTGTACAGCAAGAGTCCCAATTGCTGGACCGTTCCATTGTGGAAAACATCGCGTATGGGCTGGTTGGATCTGCCGAGCACGAGGATCTGACTGAAGTCATTTTGGATATGCGCTTGGCTGATATTGTGGCCAGAATCCAGGCTGGATGCTCTGAAGCGGAGGCCCTGGAAGATTGTGATCCTAGGATCGCTGAAATTTTCAGACAGGTAAAGTTGGCAGCTAGCAGAGCCAATGCGCTCTCATTTATTGAGTCTCTAGCGTTTGGTGTAGCTAGTCCAGTTGGAACTTCTGGCGGCCAACTCAGTGGTGGTCAAAGACAGCGCATTGCTCTTGCTACAGCTCTTGTTCGTGAGCCCAAAGTGCTTATTTTGGATGAAGCAACTGCTGCACTCGATTCAATGAGTGAGCAGTTGATCCAGGCTGCCTTGCTCACACTGTCTGGAACGACCACGATAGTGTCTATTGCCCATCGTCTAGCAGCCGTTAGGGATGCAGATCAAGTCATCGTCATCCAGAATGGCCGAGCGGTGGAAAGCGGTTCTCCTCAAACTTTGTTGGAGAGTGGCGGGGCGTACGCGACAATGATCAGTCAACAGAGGCTTGCCAATTCTGGGATGGATAGCTCAGAAGATACATTGAGCGAGGCCAAAAGCTCTCTCACTTTGAACAGAGAAGGCCCGATCTTGGCGGAAAAAGGGCAGAGTGTCTATATGGCTGAAGAGGAAAAGCCCGCTGAGACCAATGCAGAGTCCAATACTGCACTGGCAAAAGAAGAACCCAAGCCATCAAAGTTCCTCACGGCAAAGATATGTTTCGCCTTCATCCGTCCCAATATTCTTCTTATCCTTCTGGGCTTGGTAATGTCAATAATCATCGGAGCTAGCTACAGCTCGAATGCAATTTTGTTTGGTAATACCGTGGGAGGGCTCAGTCCATGCAAGGGTACCGCAAATATTCGACACAGCGGAAACCTGTTCGGCCTCATGTTTTTTGTCGTGGGAATTGTCGAACTTTTCGCGAATGTCATTGGCGGGTGTGCCTATGGATGGGCAGCTGACCAGACACTGTATCGAATTCGCATGAACTCACTTCGGTCGCTCCTTAGTCAAACTATGACATGGCATAGTGCTGAAGGACGAAGCCCTGGTGTCCTCATTGCCTATATCACAGGTGATGCATCGGCCATTAGTGGCCTTACTGGAACTACTATCGGTCTTCTCCTTGCGACTGCGGTGAATCTTTTTGCGGGAGTCATCATTGCATTTATCGTGGCATGGAAAATCTCAATTGTTCTGGTCCCCACTATACCTGTTCTCCTAGTGGCTGGATTCATGAAGTTACGGGTTCAGGGCCAATTTGCAGAGCGACATAAGAAAGCATTCTCTCGCGCTACAGAGATCACAGTGGAAGCCTTGGGAAATCTGCGTTTCGTCGCAGGTTTCTCACTCGAGAATCAGCTCTATCGGGAGTTCTTGTCATCGATTCAGAAGCCATACAAAAACACCACTAAGGCGATCGCTTGGGGAAACTTCTGGCTCGCGTGGGCCTTCAGTGTGAGCAATCTCATCAGCGCCCTTGCATACTGGTGGGGATCCAAGCAAATTGCCTCAGGGCTTTACTCCCAAACCCAGTTTTTTATTGTCTTGCCAGCTCTTCTATTCAGCACACAATCCTGTGGTCAGATGCTTGCCTTGGCACCAGATGTTTCGAAGGCTGGAAAGGCTGCTTCACGTGTTGTTGATCTTGTGAAAACAAACTCTGCCGAGGAGGAATTTAGTGGTGGCAATTACACGCAGAAAATGATGAAGATGGAAATGCCAGATACAGATCCTGAGGCCAACATGTCTTCTGGGGCAACCTCTTCTGAAAAGTCTCAGGGACCAGTGGGTGCACAGCTTCACGAAGTGTGCTTTTCATACCCAAAATCATCTCACATCCCCGTTCTCAGTGGATTGAACATCGATTTCAAGCCAGGAAACTTCTACGCACTAGTGGGCCCAAGTGGCTCAGGGAAATCAACCATCTTCAACATGCTGGAAAGGTTCTATCAACCCACGTCCGGGTCTGTTACAATCAATGAGCAGAACATCAACCGTATATTGTCGACAGCATTCAGGGACGACATTGCGCTTGTTCCACAAGAGAATGTTTTATTTGAGGGAACCCTCGCCTTTAACATAGCACTCGGGGCAAGACCCGGATATACAGCCACACAAGCAGACATTGAGGAAGCTTGTAAGCTAGCTCAGATCCATGATGTGATTATGACCTTGCCTGATGGCTACGAGACATTCTGCACCCACGATGGAAAGCAGTTTTCAGGTGGTCAACGCCAGCGTCTATCTATTGCAAGAGCCTTGATTAGAAAGCCAGGCCTCTTACTTCTTGATGAGTCTACGAGTGCTCTCGATGGTGAATCTGAACGAAAGATTCAGGATGCTTTGTCAAACCTCGCGGGAAAAACTACGATTATCGCTATTGCTCATCGCTTGAAGACGATCTATCGGGCGGATCAGATTTTCCTTATTCAGGATGGTCATTGTGCTGACCACGGCACCCACGCGGAGCTTGTTGAGCGGAGTGAGATGTATCGGGAGAGTGTTTTGCATCAGTCACTAGCCACCTGATGTCAGACCCATATTTCTAATGGAAGTAGAGATGCTTTCCAAATGGCTTTAGAATAGACGTATTGAAAGAGATAGATTTTGTTTTTATTGAATTTTACGGGTTCATGCTTCAAACGCTTCATGTTGGAAATTCACAGGAACACTTCGTACATTAAACCTGGAAGATTTGGCGAGACTTATAAGAAATTATTTTGGGTCTTATTCCTCTGTGCCCACAGAACGTTTCTTTTAGTGTCATTTTTTCTCATTCTTTCTACCCCGATTCCAGGGTAGTTGGAGTCATGAACTTAGAGCGACTACTTCTCATTCAATACCGATGAACCATGATAATACCATTAACATATAACTACAACTGGGCAATCAAAAAATATAAATGAATCCATGTACATGTAAAAAAAGAGGAATATCCCACTTCTGTATAGCGGAAAGAAAATGAAAGAAAAGAAGAAGGGACAAGGAAGGCAAGATTATAACATTAGTTCAAATTCAAATATTAAGCTTTACTGAAATGAAGAAAACACCTATATACTAAATACTAAATACAAGGGAAGTTCTCCATCTGGGGTAACAACGGTGCTGTCCGATTGAACATCAACAGCGACCACGGTAGGCCATCTAATATTAGCCAGTTCTAAAGGACAGTTCCAGGGACCTGCTTCTTGTCGCCGACATTGACGTTTCTCCAGATAGCAATACAAGGCAAACCAAGTGCCACGACAGCAGTGGTTGCGATACAGCTATACTTCTGGGTATCACCCCAGGCCAAGTTAATGGCGGTCCGAATCTCTGATCCCATGGGATAATTCATCTGCTTCAAATACCCCCCAAGGTATATATCCGTCCAATTAGCCTGTGCCTCTGCGGGCAAGTTCGCTATCAAAGTGCTTGGAAAGACGTTGGCGTAGATAGCAGAGGCAACAGTGTTTCCAGCGGCTCCACCCAGACTAGCGAAAAGTCCAAGGATTGAAAGCATCATTGGCACTCCGTCATGATCAGCTGAGCTCATCACGGCCATGTCCTGTCCGATGACCAAAATGCCACCGGCAAAAGCGATGAAGATCTGACACATGACAATGTATCCAATACCGTCATCTTGACCGCGGAAGTGAACCATCAACCCTGAGCCAAGAAGCATCAATGGAAGACCGAAGAAAAGACAAGCGTTCTTGAAATGTTTGGTTTGTCGGATATAAAGACCAAACACAGGCGCAATGAAACAAGATCCAATGTTGTATATCTGGTTCATATAGCCTGCGTCCGACACACTGAGGTCGTACACCACCATGACAAAGTTGAGGAAATAGAGATCCCAAGCAGCGTAGCCGAGATTGAGCAGAGCTGACAGTAGACAGGCACCGAGAACTGTCCGCTGCTTCAGCAAATCGTACTGAATAAATTGCTTGCGAGCACAGAAATTTTCCCATGCCACAAAGACAAAGAACAAACAGAAGCCAATGACTAGCATGGCAATGAATGTGGCAGATCCGTATTCAGCCCGTCCATAGATTGCCAGACTGAATGGCAGTAGTAGCAAAATAAACGTTGCCATCAACAGAGCGGCACCGACGACTATTGACCGTTAATAATTGAGCGCAAATCATTTTGTAAAGGGGAAGGGCACGTACTATCGAACTCGTGGACATAATGCACGACGGATTGAGACCAAGTGCGGTTGCTTTCCGCTTTGTGATACAATCCCAGCTTCTTAGCTTTGATCTCGTAGAATTTGAACACGACAGCGAGGGGCAGCAGGACAAATGGGAAAATAATGGAAAATGCTCCATATGCCCAGCGCCAAGTTGTCATACTTAAGAAGGACTTGGCAGCCAATGGACCCGTGAATGCGGTGCAAATGAATGGCGTACTGGAGAAGGCGAACGCAAATGCCCGGTTCCTCAGCCCGGATGTATCAGCAATGAAGACATCAAGGATTAGGTAGATGGCGTTGTAGCCAACCCAGTACAGAACGTATCCCGCCGCAAATCCATTCGGCCCATCGCATGACGCCAATATGATTATCCCTAGCAAAAACAGTCCCGTGAATATAGTGAGGGCCTCAGCTCGACCCCAGATATTCAGGATTTTGGCGATGGGAAGCTTCACTACACCACCTACGACGGTGGCTAGGATCGCTGCGGTGGAAATTTGAGGGGCGGTATTGAAGTTGGCGTAGGCGTTGAAAATCACGTTGGTACCGATCGAGGAATGGAACGCCAACATGAAAAAGCAGACCCAAATCCTAAAGTGAGACGTTAGTATTATCCTCTTGATATCTATCGTATTGTTAACTAAGCGGCTAGTGCCGCAAAAGTAATCACATACCAAGCGTAGATGGCAAACACGGTGTTTTTGCTCCATGCAAGCACTACCGCTTCGGCTTTCTGAACACCACTCGGGCCATTCTCAACAATTCCGTCAACTCTTTCTTGGGCTTCCTTCAGTTCAGCCTTTCCAGAATCTGTTTTAAACATAGTACTGGCTTGACCCGGAGGTAAATGTGCGCCCAGCTTAGAAGGATTGGATGCTGGCTGGCTCATGATGACAGAAACCAGCTAAGGCAGCCAAGGAATTTGGCTGAAAGGGAAAGAAAAATGGTAGATCTTGATCGATGGGGTTCTCAGATGGTCCGAACAAGAGCAATAAATAACAAAAATCTAGTTGATGACCTAACCACATAAGTCTGTCTATAGGTATAGTCGCCACTTTTCTCCCGCCGAGTTCGGCATTCATTATGGCAAGGATGCAAAAGAACTCTCTAGCAGAAGGCTAGATTAAGCGCTTGTGGCGACGGTGTACGGCAATTGGTCAATATTGAAAAGCAATGACTAGCAAGAGATTTCCACCCAACTCCAAATCACGGACCTCAGTCCTCTCTGGGAATAGTGGCATGATTCGGTATTGTGCCGTCCGTTACATGACTTTACATCTCTATTGTGTGGATTCAATTAGCCCCAGGGCATGACTCAAACTAGGCAACTTTATCACCTTTCAGCTGCGTCTATTGACCATTCCGTGATGCGACTCCACGGTAAACCGCTGGCTATGTTGTTTGTATATGATGTGAGTATAATCAAAATTATAATCACCATCATATCATGTCTGTTACTCTGATGTGGGTCAAATTCTTGCTGCTAGGATTGATTTCCATCAGTATTTTCGACAAGTGCTAGTTCAGATACAGCTAGGGAGATGTCACCTTACCAATGCATTAGCGGCACTAGGTAGTTGGTTAAAATGAAGTCTCCATATTGGCCCCCCTGTAAACCTAGATCAAATATCACTTCCGAGGCTCCAGCTCTTGCTAGTACAACTTACTAGCCAGGCTCTACATAGTAGTGATACCCAGCTCGAAAAACAGCGTAGTTTGAGATTGACATGCATATTCCAACCTCCATACGGAGTAACTATGAGATACATGGTTGCTGGAGAATTTCGTTTTTTTTTTATTAAGAGTAAAAAGTCTATTCGCGTTTTGGTCTGCCAAGAATGTCTCAAATTCAAAAGGAATTACGGAGTACATACTTTCGAAATCCCGGGTGTCTAGGATTTCCACTTGATGATACAAGTTGTTTCAAGCGCTGGAGCGTTGTTTCCGGGTTCTGAGTTTTGAAAAATACAAGGGGTGGGGCTTTGTATTAGGGTTACGGCTGAGAAGGGTGGCTTGAACGTGACGGTACCAAACGGCATGTATTAACCGTTATAGAAGCATAGTACCGAGTACACATAGTAAGATTATAGATCGCATTTTTTTGGCTATAACTCTAGGACATTAAAGCAAGCTCACAGCTTCTTATAGCGACTCAAATTTTCCAAGTTTGACCTCCCCAACGAATCCAAGATGTCAACTCAAACCAAACCATGGAAGTACTCTCTGCAGCCGTCACCTCACTTGGACGGAACAAATATCCCAACTACTGCATTCCCATTGCAGACAGAGACGATTCAATCTTTGGGTCTTCAGAGTGCGCAGTTTGAAGTCGGTTGCTTGCAGGACTTGGAAGAACCAGATGGCCTCAGTCCTTTGATACTTGGATATGCCCGTTGGATTATGTCCGTGAGTGATCAAAGTCGTATCGCCTTTTGGATCATGGCAGAAGATGCAGAATCAACTGTGAAATACGCAATCGTGATAGCTCAGCGGACAGCTGAACATGAAGCTCTCACATGGGAGGTGTACGAGGCTACCCTCGAAGGAACAGATAACGTGGAATTCGGAATGCGCCTCGTAGAGGCCGCAGAGGTGGAGGTGGATCTGCCAACTTCGGTAAGAAAGAACAGGACAGTTTGCATGAAGGATCAATGGCTAACATCTCATGTCATATCTCATAGATTCGAGTACTATTGTGCATTGACTTGCAATCGTCGAATGGAAATCTTACCTATCGAGGAGAATTGGAGCAGGGAATAAATATATCAAGCTTTGATCTGTTGAAATACTATATGCAACAACCAGAGGGCAAATATTCCAGTGCCACCTTTTGGAGAAAGGAGCTGGCGGAGTTTGTCGGCTGTTCCGAGAGAAGCTTTCCCACGATATCCTGTGACCGTTTGATCGCCTCTACTGGTAACACTCCAGTGCTCACCCAAACTCTCACTATGGGTGTGTCGTGGGATCAGTTGGAGACCCTGGCACAAGAATTCCATCTGAAATCACCCGTCTCGGTGGTTCGTGCCGCGTTTGCATGTATACTGGCTGAATATCTCGAGTCGGACAGGGTCATCCTAGGAGACCGGCCATCGGCAAATCCTAAAGATAGCGGCTCTGTAGCCCTGGTCCCAGTCCTACTTTCCGATGATGATACTGCGAATAACTTGTTCTGTCGAGTCGATGGTTTCACCGCAAGAGCAGCCACATTCCCAAACCTACCTCTAGAAGAACTTCGTGAAATTCTCCGGGTTCCTTCAGGTGGCACCCCATACAATGCGCTCTTTACCCATCATTTTGATACGTTATCCTGTGAAAATTTGGAGACAACATCGCATGAGACACTCATGCCATGCCTCGGTGCTCCCATGCATCTCAACTTCCAACGTTCAGAGCAGGGCGTGCTCATCTGTACACTCTCTGTCAGAGGTGATTTGATGGATGCACCCCACTTGGAGTTAGTTCTACAGCAAATCAATGCCCTCACTGCTGTTATTTCCTCCGAGCATGCTCAATCAATTCGAGATCTCACACAATCCTTTCCCAACAACCTGCTCTCAGTCCATTCACCGTCAGCTAGTGACCAACTTCAACAAGCCCCCTTGCTATCCCCTGCACATTGGGTCGATCATTGGGCATCCATAAATCCCGCATGGAGTGCCCTAGAGATTATCGAGAAAATCAGCGAGGATGAGACTGTTTCCCAGACATGGACGTACGACGAATTATCCCAAACCTCTAACCAGCTTTGCGCATGGCTGAAAGCTCATGGATGGCGCAATCAATCCATAGCTGTCTGTCTTAGCCGCTCTTTCATGGCTTACGCACTTGTTCTGGCTATTTGGAAAAGCGGAAATTGCTATGTGCCTGTGGCAGAAGATCTCCCGGAGGCGCGCCAGATCTTCCTTCTAGCAGACAGTGGTGCTATGGCATTTTTCACGGACAAGAGTGTCGCCAAGACAATTGTTCCCCCTGATAATTGCCTAGTGATTGATATTGAAGACCCCGAGCTTCTCGAAGATACCTGGGTAATCGAGCCAGCCACTGAATTCGATCCCAAACCAACTGATGACTGTTATCTTCTCTACACCTCTGGGTCAACGGGGACGCCCAAAGGCGTGCTAGTCAGTCGAGGAAATCTCTCTGCCTTTACCGAAGCGCAGTCAGAATATATCTGTCGTGATGTGCCAGATACCCTGAAATTGAAAGGCACAGGAAGTTATCTTGCGCATGCTAGTCGGGCCTTCGATGTACACATCTGTGAGATGGTGCTGGGCTGGCGGCATGGTCTTCGTCTGGTAACAGGTCCTCGGACCATGCTTCTGGACAATTTGTACCTGGTTCTCAGTCGACTGAGGATCAGTCATGCCGGTTTCGTGCCTTCGCTCCTCGAGCATGCCGGTATTAGCGCTGAGCAGGTACCGGATCTGCGATATCTTGGCGTTGGAGGGGAGAAGATCTCAGAGACAATTATCGAGCGCTTTGTGGGCAAACCATCCATTGCGCTCGTGAACGCATACGGCCCGACTGAGGTGACAATTGGAATGACAAGCCACACAGTAACGCCTCGGTCTACTGTGCGCAACATTGGTACGGCTGTCGGTAACATCACAATCCACGTTTTGGAGCCCGATAGCACGAGATATGTCAAGCGAGGCCAAGCAGGAGAGCTCTGCGTGACAGGTGATTTGGTCGCCAATGGGTACCATCGCAGACCCGATGCAGGCGGCTTCACTGATTTGAATGGGCAACAAATGTACCGCACTGGAGATATTGTGCGCTTGATGGCCAACAACTGCGTTGAGTACCTGGGCCGGCGAGATAGCCAGGCTAAGATTCGTGGTCAACGTCTCGAGCTTGAAGAAGTTTCAGTCGCGGTCCGTCGATGTGCAGACTTTCCCGTCAATGTCACCTCAATAGTGACGCCCTCTCCAATCACCAAACGCCCTCAATTAGTCTCCTTCATCAGTCCTTCCAGCAACCGACCAGAAGATACTGGAACACAAACCACTTTCCTAAAGGACAAATACCAAACATGGGTGCCAAAGATCCTGGCGCGCTGCCGTATCGAACTACCTGCGTACATGGTACCCAGTATCTTGCTCACCGTCAGTTCAATTCCTATTCAGATCTCAGGAAAAGCAGACAATCGCCGTCTTGTGGCCTTATATGAGAGTATCCCTATGTCAGACTTGCTCTTGGAGTCCGGAGAGATTGCCATTCAGCTTCCTCAGACGGCCATGGAGCCAGATACCACACCTTTGACAATAGAGGAGGAGGAGGTCCGTGATATACTCTGCTCTCAACTGCAGATTGAGCAAAGCAGTATCACCAGAGCCACCAACATATTTCAGCTGGGAATCGATAGCCTCGCTTCTCTCGGTGTGGCTGCCAAGATGCGCAAGGCAGGCTATGTTTGTGCGGCGAGCGATGTTCTTTCCAACCCTACAATTGTACGGCTTGCATGTTTGCCACGGACTCACAAATCCGGCGAAGGGCCAAGAAGGGACTTATTCTCGGACGAATCAGATGAAGCTTCACGGAAAATGAAAGAACTCGACCAAGTGTTCCGAATGTCCCAGAAACAATTCGCGGGCTCCTGTATTTCTGTGATTCGGCCATGTCTACCTCTTCAAGAGAGCCTTGTCTCCAATTCCGTGGGTAGCCCAGTCCCGTTGTACGTTAATCACATCATGTGCCGTCTGGGACCAGACATCACGCTTCCTGCGCTGAAAATGGCCTTTGAAGATTTAATACAAGAGAGTGAGATTTTGCGCACCTGCTTCCATGTTGCAGATGACAGAATAGTCCAGGTTGTTTTGAAACCTCGTGCTGTTAGCCTTCCATGGACCGAGGTCCCCGTGTCGGATGAAGGCACCGCTCGTGATCTGTTCAATAGCGTTCAAACTGGGATTGCATCGAACCTCGTCCGCCAAATCGAGACCAAGCCCCCACTACATCTTCTTGCAGCCACTTCAGCAACCAAGGAAGGATCGGGGTGGTTGATGCTATCCATTCATCATTCCATCTTTGATGGTGCCAGTATGGATGTCTTCCTCGGCCGGCTTCACCGACACTACACTGGGGAGACAGCCATGACCCCGGTCGATCTCACTCCACTTTACCATTATTTTGCTACTAATGATGGGAAGCAAGCTGAGCAATTCTGGACTCAATATCTTGCTGATTGCCTGCCAGGTATCGTCACCAGCCATGAAGGAACCGATAGTTCGTATGAAATTGTCACGAAGAAGTTGTCTTTCACATTATCCAAAATCTCCAAATTCGCCTCCGACAATTCCACCACCGCATCCATGGTTTTAGAAACAGCTTGGGCAATCACATTGGCAAAGCACTTGAACCAAAGGGACATTATCTATGGCCGAGTAATGAACGGCAGAGGAATCCCAGTAGGATCAGTGGAATCAATGCTAATCCCCCTCGTCACAACGATCCCTGGTCGGTTCCAGCTTCCTTCTGGTGAATCGAGGGTGGTTGACCAGATAAAGACGCACACCGAGGCTATCATTGGATCCCTACCATACCAACACACACCACTTCGCGATATCCAGCGGTACGCTAGTGCGTCCGGTCCACTTTTCAACTCGATGTTTTCATACCTTGCATCTGGTCCTCGATCCTCGGCGGACAATATGTTGTTGGAAATGGATAGTGCCATGTCAGTGGACTACCCCCTTGCACTAGAGATCAAAGCGGAGTCAGATCCCGACACAGTCACTTTGCGCTTGAGAATTGCCAGTGATCATTCCTCCTCCGACCAAGGCCATGCGTTGGTCGACGCAATTTCCACTCTTGTTGAAGACTTGCTCTCTGATGGAGATGTGATCGTTGATGCTGGAACAATCTCTCAACAACAGAGAAAACAGGAGCCCAAATGGGACGAAACGCAATGGAGCGAAAGTGAAATCACTATTCGCGGAGCTGTGGCCGAGATAACAGGTATTTCTGAGTTGCAGGTTTCGAAGAATGTGTCATTCTTTGCTTTAGGAATTGACTCTGTGATTTCAATTCATCTGGCTCGACGCTTACAGGAGAGTGGACTTAAAGTATCTTCCAGTGATATTCTGAGATATCCATCAATCGGTACTCTCCACAAGTCTTTGGATAACACCATTGCCGTTTCCGATGTACCGCTTGTTGATGAGACTACGCCTGATCAGGGCTTGAGTGTTGATCTGTTCGACGCACATGACTCAATTGTTGAAACTTATCACTGCATGCCTTTGCAAACAGCGATGATCGGCCAATGTTTGAGCTCTGAGGGTAAAGAATATGTTCATCATCATGCAGTTGAGCTTCCAAACGCAGTCGACTTCGAGAAAATGATCAGTGCCTGGCAAAATGTAGTAGAACAGGTCGATATCCTTCGTACCTCGTTTCACCGGCCCCATGCAAGTCGTGAATTCCATGCTGCAGTCCATCGATCTGCGGTAATACAGTGGTCACATGAAGATGTTGCATCCCTTCCTGTGGCTGTTGAGCAAATATCCCAGCGAGCCGCTTACCCGAACATCAAGAACTTTGACAGGCCCCCATGGAAGATCACTTTCCTCACTGAAGCTTCCCAGAAACTTATGGTCGTCACCATGCATCACTGTCTTTATGATGGATTTTCTCTTCCCATGCTCTTTGCTTGTGTGGAGAAATATTACCATGGCCATCAGAGCCATGTTGGCTCCTTCGCACCTGTAGCACGCAAGATTGCATCCACGCAAGAATCATCCGTCCGATTTTGGACTGATTCAGTAGCGGGATACCAATACCCACAGCTCCAGTCTCCTCCGGCCCCGACCTCCACTACCAGTGTCCAGTGGGCAGAGACCAAGCTTGAAAGCTCAGTAGCCACATTGCAACACCAATGCGGCTCACTCAATGTTACCTTGCAGACTGTGGCGCTGCTTGCATTTGGCAGATCATTGGCATTGCGTCTTGGTCAGCGAGATGTGGTTTTTGGCCACGTAGTATCAGGACGAGGATTTGATGTTGATCCTACGGCTTCGGTTATTGGCCCCCTGTTCAATACAGTTCCCTTCCGCTTGAAGCTTGATTCTTCTCAAAGCATCCGATCGGCCTTGCGAGATATTCAAATGTTTTGCATCGATTCCCAGCCTCACCACCATGCACCATTGAGTCTCATTCAGAAGAGATGGCGTCTGACAACTAACGGAGACAACTCTTCGTTATTCAATGCCATTTTCACGTTCAACAAATCCCAAGCTCCAACGCAAGATTCATTTTTCCAGCCCTACGAGTTTTCTCGCAAGCCGGATGTTCCCCACCACCCATTAAATGTGGAATTTGACCAGACTGAGAAATCTCTTGTGATCCGGGCAACCAGTCGTGATTTCCTGACCAACGACGAGCTGCACACTTGGTTGCATAATCTTGCCCGGGGCATTGAGGATATCGTTTTATCTGAAAACAAGCCTGTTCTCAATTTCCCTTCTGGCCTCAGCGATTTGCCCTTAGTTGCCACGGGTCCGCATCAAGATGAGGAGAAGCCTGTAGACACTCTTGTCCTAGGCCAAAATGTGCAAATACTTAGGAAAATCCTTTCAGACGTTACTCAAATATCGATGGAAACAATTCAAGAGGGCAACAGTATCTTCGCACTCGGAGTCGACTCAATCTTGGCACTGGACGTTAGCAGTCGTTGCCGCGAGGCTGGACTGATGGTCTCAGTGAGCGATATTCTTCAAGGACGGACAATTCGAGGCATCGCGATGCTCGTTGCTGGTAAGCCCACTCAACCCCGTGGCTCTCCAAAAATCGTCAAACCCGATAATTTCGTTGTCAAATCGGATCCAAAATTCAACGCATTGGATATTCTGGGTCTATCTGAAGATAACATTGAAGCGTACATGCCTTGCCTTAGCGGTCAGCTATTCTACATATCTGCGTGGCTCCAAAGCAAGCGACAACTGTGGGAGTTTACGTTTGCGTTCAACAGTCGCATTAAGCTTGATCCGGAACAAGTTCAAAACGCATGGCTGCAGCTACAAAGGAGACATGAAATCCTTCGCACATCGTTCGCAGCCGTCTCTTCAAACGAAGTCTTGCAGGTTGTACAGAAAGCGAGCAAAACCAGCGGAGAAGTTCAGGTGTACAATGAGCAATCTACTGGAGACTTGAATACTTTGGTTCAAGACCTGGTTCATCGTATTGCTCGTAACCCGTCTGATCTCTTCACACCTCCTGCCCGGCTACACCTAATTCAGCACCCTGACTCGGACGTTCTTATACTTACCTTGCATCATGCTTTGTATGACGCGTGGGCGATTACGATTCTTGTCAAGGAGCTAGAAGCCTTGTACCAGGGAGAGGATCTAGCACCCCCGTGCGAGTTCTCTTCTTTCATAACCAGCACTCTTCAAGCAGCAAACTCCGAGTCCGCACAAAGCTACTGGGAAGGAGTGCTCGAAATGGGCCAACGAACTATTCTCGGACCAGGTTCTGCTAGTCATGAGAGCAATCTCCACATTCGATCCTCTGAGCGCATCTTCTCTCGCAAGCTCCGCGAAATCCAAGTTCAATGCCGGAGACTTGAAGTTTCTGCGCCGTCTTTGATGCTGCTGGCAGTGGGTCGCAGCCTTGCGCGTACGGCAGGCATTTCTCATCCAACATTTGGTCTTTTCCAATCCGGGCGCTCAAGCGAGTATCCGAGAATCCAAGATATGGCAGGCCCTACCGTTAACATGCTACCACTCGTGGTCCCGGATGCTCTGACGTCCCCAACTCCACAGGCTCTGGTCGCCATGCAGCATGATTTGGTACAGCGAAATCTCCATGATCAGACTGATCTTCGAACTCTCTGCGAGAAGATGAAAGCATTTGGTAATGAGCTACAGTTCAACGTCATTGTCAACATTGTTTGGGGTCAACTCAATGGTTCTGCTGCTGAACAAGACAACGACTCCATTTTCACTCCTTTCCCCCTCAACTCTCCAATTGATTCTGAGTTTGAAGAACCACCGGTTGGAAAGACCTCTGTTGATCATTTTGACTGGAAATGTCTACCCGGCGTTGGTGCTATCTATTTGGAGGTGAGCTCTAACGAGCGAGATGATGCGCTGTTGTGGAAAGTTGAGTATACATCGGATTTGATCTCAGACGATCAGGCTGAGCTGTTTTTGAACACTCTGGAAAAAGAGATGGATAATATTGGAGAAGCTTGAGTCGGACAATCTTCTTGTTTTTCAAACTCGTTATCTGCTACCTGTTGATGGCTCTCGCCTTGTTCCGAAGGCCCTGTTCGAACCCGAATATTTAAAATTGGTAGAGAAAGAATAGATATGCATACTTCACCTTGCCTTTGAAGATAAATTCGGAGATTGTGGGCCGTAGAATGCAGCTTCAGCTCTCGGAGCTCCAATCATAATTTAATGATGATCGTCAGATCTGTCCATCTGGTGGACAGCCTGGGAAAATCCAGGATGAATATATCCAGGTTTTGGCCAGGTTTCCTTGTGTTTATTCAAAGCTATGATATTTCATTTGTCAAATGTTGCATCAAATTATCAATCACACTTGTCAAAGCAGTGTTATCAAAAATGAATAAAGGCTGTGAAGTTTGTGTTTATCGGTCAAATTGTAGGGCTATAGATCGGCCATCGGCCATCGGTCATTTGCCATATCACAAAGTGCGCAACTGGTCTCTTCCCGCAGCCGGAATAAACTTCTCTTTGGTCCTGAGATATTCAGGTCGATACCCATTGCGACAACTTGATACCCTCTACATCTCTATCCCTACGAGCATTCGATTTTCTACCCCTTAATCCCATCATAATTGCTCAAGCTCTTGATATTTGAGCAAGGCCATCCACATCTACCCCCAGCAGCAATAAACACCCACGCCATACGGGGCAACGCCCAGACCAGACCAGACCTTTTACAATGGCAGAGCCACCTGCAAAGCGTGCTCGCCGAGTCGACAGCTCAGCTATGTGGGATTCGAATGATAAACGGCCTCGTGCACCAGAGCAAGAGTCAGACCGCGAGCGCAGACGTTCACCAGCTCCACGAGATGACCGACGCGACGGCCGGTATCGCTCTCGCTCGCGAGAACGCAAGGATGGAAGGCGAGAACGGAGCTGGTCTCGAGATCGCCGCGACCGGGACCGACGAGACGGAGACAGAGATACACGTGGGGCCCAGGACCGAAAGAGAAGCACCAGTCGGGAGCGCAACCAGGATAGACGAGGTTGGTGAAATATCTACCTTGTTGGATTATTTTTTGCCTTGCTAATATATGAATGTCAGGCAATGCACCCAAAAGCGTTAAATTCCGCGAAAACTCGCGCTCCCGATCTCCGCATCGCAATGGCACAAAAGCCCGGTCACCCCCTCGAGGCCCCAAGAGTGACCGCAAAGATCCTAGATCGCGAGATGATGGGCGGAAGGCAACTGGCGCACAACCAGGACCGGATCGTCATGAGGATGAGATGGACGTAGATTTCAACGAAGATGCGGACGAGGACGAAATGGAAGCACAAATGCGAAAGGCCATGGGTTTCAGCAGGTTCCGAACTACAAAGAACACCAAAATTCCCGGAAACAACATCTATGGTGTGCGGAAGGAGAAGAAGATCGAGTACCGACAGTACATGAACCGCCAGGGCGGTTTCAACCGGCCTCTCAGTCCTTCGCGATGAATCGTCACATCCTTACTATTCCTACGATCTCATACTTTTTTTGTATTCAAAAACACTGGACATTTTTCTGCCTTCATTTGACACGATATGCATTTGCGGAGTATTGTTTTGTTGGATTGAATTTTACCTTCCCATTCAATGGCCCGCCCAAGCCTTGGTGGATTTACCACCATTTAGTTCAAATATTAGTGAATCAAAAAAATATTTGAATGATTCATATTCAAGCCTGTAGAAAAACCGGTCATGGTGGACTTGATTGCGGATGCGACATATGACTGGACATACTAGATCTCCAGTGACGTAGGCGTCTCTGTATATAAGCACACCTGCGGTCAAAACTTGTCAGTTACAACTCCCTACACAGTGGCTTCATTGCGATCATTAGCGCCCAAGATAACGCCAAAATTCAAGATGTCGGCGACAGGAGACCGGCGTGAGATTGTCATTGTTGGTAAGAATATATCGTTTGCGACTTTGGTACCCCGCGCGCTATATTCGGAACTCGCTGACCGAAATACTCACAGGTGGTGGCATTATTGGATGCTGCTCTGCATACTACCTTACCAGACACCCATCCTACGACCCTGCCCGCCACAAAATCACACTCATTGAGGCCTCTGAAATCGCCGGCGGGGCATCGGGAAAAGCGGGTGGTATGCTAGCGCAATGGGCTTTTCCGAGCAATCTCGTCGGTCTCAGCTACAAGCTGCATGCCGAACTTGCAAAAGAGCACGATGGTATCAACCGATGGGGATACAGAGAGGTCAATTGTGGCCAACTCGTCGTGAGAGGCCGCGCACTTGCCGAGAACACTGCAGGGAAAACCGGGGATGGAAGTACGGAATCCCTCCAGAAACGCAGCGCAGCGGCTATGTCTAAGCTGAGGTCTGCCAAAATTCCCGAGGACTTGGATTGGATTGAGCCAGAGCTTCTGCGGGCTTATGAAAGTATGAGTGGACCGGGCGAAACCGCTCAAGTGCACCCATATCTCTTTACTACGTCCATTGCGAAGCTCGCCCAGGAGAAGGGCGCAGATATCATTCTTGGGCAGGTTACAGATATCACTCGGTCCAAGAGCTCTGTCGAATCAGTGACATATACCAATAAAACATCTGGTGAAACACAAAGCATACCCGCTACCGATGTGCTCGTTGCTGCTGGTCCCTGGACGAACACTATCCTCCCGGAGGTCCCGATCTCAGCCATGCGGGCCCACAGCGTGGTGATCCAACCAAAGAAACCAGTCAGTGCATACTGCCTATTTACCAACATCGAAATACCGGCCGACTTCAACCCCGAAAAGAAGTCACGCCCGACTGTTGCTGCGCCAGAGATCTACGCGCGTCCTGATGCAACTGTCTATGCATGTGGCGATGGAGATAGAACGGTTCCACTACCAAAAACTACCGCAGACGTCGAGGTTGACCAGGAACGCTGCCAGGAAATCATAGACCATGTGGGTAGTATTTCTGACGAGCTGCGCGACGGAGAGGTTCGCACTCGCCAGGCTTGCTATCTTCCAAACTGTGATTCTGGTGCTGGGCCACTAGTTGGCTTGACTGATGTGAAGGGACTGTATATTGCAGCTGGCCATACTTGCTGGGGTATCCAGAATGCACCCGGTACAGGAAAGCTTATGAGTGAGATTGTATTTGATGGCAAGGCGAAGAGCGCGAACATTGGATCGTTGGACCCACGCGAGTTCATGTGAATACATACTTGATACCACATTGTCTATAACAATAAATATCACACCTTTTTCTATGATGTTGGATACATTTTTTAATGAGACATAGTATACTCATGGACCACCTATACAAATAGGTAGACGAGCACTAAAACGGAAAAGGAAAGGCGGGTGACGCCCGCGGGCATTATCCGGTACGCATTTTGAGACTAGTCTTAATTTGGTAGGCGGTAAGCGGAGGTACGTACATACACCTATAGCTTAATGCCGCGGAGAGGACAGCAGTCAATTGACTGAGGCTACATAATGCGTCACCTCAGAATTTCAGCGTTATTGACGTCGCTGCTTTGTGCAACTGGGATTGTTGCAAGCGAAGATCCCAATGATGTGTCCATCTTGATTCGAGAGGCCGGACGCGCCAGCAACGAGTCCCTGCTATGGGGTCCCTACAAGTCGAATCTCTACTTTGGAGTGCGTCCTCGCATTCCTAAGAGTCTCACGGCAGGATTGGTTTGGGGAAAGGTTGATGATTATGCCAATTCTCAACAAAGTGTGTGATTTGTGGTAGCCTAATTGCATTGGTGAACTGTGAAGCTAACATCCACCGAAGACTTTAGACACACGTGCGAACAAAATGAAGGAATGGCTGGGTATGGCTGGGACGAGTACGATATCAGGAAGGGTGGGCGCGAAACAATTCATGATGCTGGGAACAGCTTGGACTTGACAATCGATTTCATCAAAGTCCCCGGCGGCCAGCACGGAGGAAGCTGGGGATTCCGAGTCAAAGGCACACCTAGAGAGGGCGCAGATCCCGACCAGCCCATCTCTATGATATTCTATTCTACTCTCGAGGGTTTCGGCCACTTGGGAGCCGATCCTTCATCCTCTGAGTCCACCGGTGTGGAAGGTAATGTCAAACTCGAAGGATACTCCACAGAACTTGGTGATTTTACTATCGATGTCACCACTGGACCGGAAACCAACTCGCATCCTCGCTACAATCATCCAAGTTCCACGGACAAGCCATTAGATCGCAGCATTGTAGCTAGTGTGGCCTTCCCAGAGGAGCAACTTTGGCAAGCAAAGGGAATCTTCTTCACTCAATTGAAGGCGGCGGTTGATGAGGCCCTTGAAGAGTATGGGAAAGAGAACGTTCCGCCCCCAGCCCAGCTGTTTACTATCAAGCACAAACCTGGCCAGGGCAATGCTCATCTTGTGCAGAAGGTTTTCACCGGTGCATTCGAGTTTGATGTCCTGTTCTCCTCCGGCTCCGCTCCCGAACCATTGACTTCGGAAACCCTCACTAAGGAAATTGATGATGCTTCGGCTTCCTTTTCTGAAACTTTTGACCAGCTTCTCCCGCCACAGGCGCCTTTTAACTCGCCAAAGTACTCGAGCTTCTCCAAGGCGATGTTGTCTAATCTCATTGGTGGCATTGGGTTCTTCCACGGTGATGATGTTGTGGATCGGTCTGCGAACCCAGCGTATGAAGAGGAGAATGAGGGCTTCTGGGAAGAGACCGCCGAGGCCAGGGCTGCCGTGCAGCCTGTTATCGAAGGCCCGAAGGAGCTTTTCACTTGCGTTCCATCCCGGCCGTTCTTCCCTAGAGGGTTCCTTTGGGATGAAGGTTTCCATTTGATGCCCGTGATCGAATATGATACTGATCTTGCGTATGTTCAAACTTACTTTGGTTTCATTTGCTGATTTTAGTTGATATACTGACTTTTACAGGCTCGAGATTATAAAGAGCTGGTTCCACTTGATGGACGAGGATGGGTGGATTGCCCGTGAACAAATTCTCGGCCAAGAAGCACGCAGCAAGGTTCCCCAGGAGTTTACGGTCCAATATCCCCATTACGCAAACCCGCCTACTCTGTTCATGGCCTTGGAGGCATTCATGGACAAAGTCAAGGATAGCAGCAACAAGAGCACCGAGTCCGGATCCCTGGACAACCAAGATGCGACCGCGAGCCTGCGCTCTGCCACTGTCCGACACCCGGAACTGTCTGAAGCGTATCTTCGCTCATTCTACCCGCTCCTAAAGAAGCACTACAACTGGTACAGAAACACCCAGCGCGGTGATATCAAGTCGTATGACCGTGAAGCATTCTCGACCAAGGAAGGTTACCGCTGGCGCGGACGTTCCGTGCAGCATATCCTCACTTCTGGCATCGACGACTACCCCAGAGCTCAGCCGCCGCACCCCGGTGAGCTGCATGTTGATTTGATCAGTTGGATGGGAATGATGACTCGCGCTATGCGTCGCATTGCCGAGAACCTCGGCGAGGAAGAAGATGCCGAGGAATTCGCCTACTACGAGACCGCTATCACTCGTAACATTGATGATTTGCATTGGGACGAGAAGGAGCAGACCTTCTGTGATGCGACTATCGATGAATATGAAGAGAGCGTCCACGTCTGTCACAAGGGTTACATCTCTATCTTCCCCTTCCTGACTGGTATGCTTGGTCCTGACAGCCCACGCCTCAAGGCTGTGTTGGACTTGATCGGTGATCCCGAGGAGCTGTGGAGTGACTATGGTATCCGTAGTTTGAGCAAGAAGGATAAGTTCTACGAGACCGATGAGAACTATTGGAGAAGCCCTGTCTGGATTAACATCAACTACTTGGTGTTGAAAAATCTCTATGTAAGTGCTTCCATATTTTGATTTGTTGGGGCGAAATCTAACGGAACCTTCACAGAACATTGCAACGGTTTCTGGTCCTCAACAGGAACAGGCGCGGGAGATGTACACCGACTTGCGGAAGAATTTAGTCGAGAATGTCTTCCGCGAGTGGAAGAAGACTGGGTTCGCTTGGGAACAGTACAACCCTGATTCGGGTAATGGCCAGCGGACACAGCACTTTACCGGCTGGACCAGTATGGTGGTGAACATGATGTCCATGCCTGATTTGGCCGGATACGAAAAGACCACTCATGACGAGTTGTAAGCTATTGGCCCTCGATGTGAAAAAGTTCGTCACGTAAATTAGATAGTGGTCATTCTGATAGTGGTACGCAATCATTTATCGGACATTTGAGTCGATTCCTCCAACGCCAAGCTAATGTATCAATTTATATCCCGGGTTTGTAGCTCAATGGCGGCGATCATGGTCATCTCGGTCTCGTCTGCGTTCGGGGTGTCGCCGGCGTTCAGCCGGCGAGTAGCTGCGCTCCATCCGTCGTCGTTTCTGGTGTTCCTCGTCTTTGCGATTGGGTCTACTCCTAGAACGAGAGACTGAGCGTCGTCTGTAGTGATCTCGACCACGAGATCGTGAGCGGGATCTGTGACGATGGCTGCGGTGATGGCGCTCTCGATCGTCATGGTGCCTGCGATGCCTCCGGTCCTTGTCACGTGTAGAATCGTCGCCTCGGTCATGTCGTCTTTCCCGTCGCGGGCTTCGGGTTCGCTCGCGTCTATGTCGGTGACTCGAGCGGTGGTCTTTTTCCCTTGTTCCAGCATCTGGCATCTCTTCTTCTTTTGGCAATATGTTCGTACTATTGGGACCTCCTAGAGGAACCATATTGGCGTTTTCAGATGCTTTCGGGGGCACCGGGAGGCCCAGAGCCAAAGCCATTGCTTCCTCCTCGGCCTCCTTGACACGTTGAAGTTCCTCTCTCTCTTTGCGGATTCGTTCTTCCTCATCTTCGTCCCCCTTGGCATACCAGTTGAGATCACGATTTTGTTGCCATCTGCCGACTGGCGCCATCACCGAGTGGCCTAGGTAGTTCTCTCGGTAGGCGGAACTTTGGACGTCGGACCATTTGAACTCATTGCGGCCGCCGCTGAGACCAAAAATTAGCGAACTTGGACATATGTAAAATGATGATGACCAGCAAATCAACTTACCGGCTGCCTTCTTTGCGTACACCAGCAACCAAATCCATCATTCAAGAGAGCTGTATTGAAAGAAAACCTATGTTGTAGGAAGAAGGAAGGCTAAGACCTCGAAGCTGTAGGTATGTACGTACTCAACGGGTGGTCCGTGCGTAGGCGGTCAGTCATTCCATCATCGAACGATTGCACCTCCCCGCAGCCATGGAGGTGATTTCGACCAGCTTGACCATGATCTGTTTACAAAGTTCCCACCCTTCTGTCTCTTGTGGTCTGGACTTCCCACTCTTGGAAATGACAGATCAGGCTTTTTCTCTTACTATTCACGACTCTCTCTGCTCAGACCCAAGAAAGTCTTCTTCTCTGCGCTCCCCCATTAGAAACAAGCACCCCTACCTACAGCAATGTCTTCTCCTCCTCCTCTCGCTAAGGAGACTGGCCCTTCGGACGCTGAGAGAAAATATCCACGATATCGGCCCCAGGTACACAGCTTGAATGTTGAAACAGAAGAGGAGCGGGTATGTTTGTCTTCAGGTTACCTCACGTGAGAACTATGAACTGACTTGCGCTAGTTTCCTAGGTGGCTATTTACATTTATACTGCCTATATTCACTATGGCTAATTATCCTTGAGCTATAGTGATGTTTCTAGGCCAACTGTATCTGCTTGGAGGTGCAACTTGGTGAGTACCTGCTGACCCAGTTGCCGTTTCGACTGTATAATTTCTCCTCAGTTCTGACCTTGATTTTTGAAAGGCGGCCCTCTCACAACGTCGGAATTTACTTTTTACGGCTCAGGTTGACAACATTTACGTATGGATTCCCAGTGGACCCCGCCAGCTCCTTGGCTCCCAACCTGAAATGATCATCCACCCGGTGATGAAGGAACCCAATGCGGCTGGATACATCGACCGTTCTAGGCCTCATACAATCAATCATATTATTGTGGATGATTTGGGAGTTGATGAGGTTTTACTGTTAGCGACAGACTCTGGAAACGTCACTGGCTACAATGTCGAGGCTATTTTCTCAGCAATCAACAGGAGTGCCAAATATGGAGGCAAACGACCATTTGATGCGCGTGAAGTAAAACCCTTCTTTGCTGAACATGTTCAATTAAGTGCCTGGGGCTTAGCCACCCACAAATTTGCTCGGTTGATTGCTGTGAGCTCGAATACAGGCCTTATCACAGTCTTTGCTTTTGCTTTGATGGATGTTGTGTCTGAGGGTGATGGTACGAGTCCCAATTCCTCTGTGACCTCAAACATGGGAGACTCTGATGTGTTGGAAAACACATGGGTATACATAGAGACCGCGCCGTCGATGGAGGAGCTGAAAAAGGACATGCCCCATCATCGAACGCGCAACCTGCGGCTCAGCTATAAGGGTCATTTTGACAATATCCCATGCGTGTCGTTTGCCAACTTTGAATTAGACCCCAACGGTCTGTGGATGACCAGCACGGACATCCTCAACCGAGTCTTTGTATGGAGAGTCTGGGACAGCCTAAGTCCTGTCAACACATCCAGTTATGATTGCCCACGGAGTGATCAAGAGCAAAGGGGATGGTTTGTCCTGCCTTTGCATCCTCGCAGAGTTCAGCAGCATCGATTGAAGTTTGATGCCTGTGGATGCGAACCAAAGCCAAGCACGATGAATGGTCGAATGATTTTTGACGTGTCACGTGCGGCCGATTATGTTGAGAACAGAACAATCATCGCTTCTGAGAAAGTCGCTGCTGAAGAACGTGCAACAATTTCGAGGCTATTTCTACCAGCTGATATTTTCACTCCTGGCGATGGTGTTAATACTGAAACTCGACCTCAACCATCAAGCTCACAGCATAATCACGAAGCCTCAGAAGCTCCTTCTCCTACAACCGCTCATGACACCATTGTTATCAGCACCGAATCTCCACAAGACTATGAGGTGGCTCCACCCCGTCAATCGATCCGCATGAGACGCGGTATTGCCAATTTGATTGAAGAAGAAAATGAGCAATGGGGCACGGATTGTGATGTCGACGTGGATATTTTGAGAAGCTTTGTACGCCATCGTAAGTGAGCAATGTGCTTCGATGTCTTGGATTAGTATACTAACCTCTTACTCAGCGTGCAACCCTCGCTTTTTCCCTATTCTTCACTTCTCCGGAGATAACATCACTTTAGATCCTTATCCATTGGACCATGGATTGCGGACGCTCTGTCGGTCTCCGCTTGAATCGATGGTAGGAGATACTATGTTCTCTTGTGATCGCTTAAACTTGGTCAAGTACCTCCCTGAACTTGGGATGGTTATTGCCGCCTCCCAGGCCGGTGGAGTTGCCATCATCACTCTTACATGGCAGGAGGAAATTGGCCACACATTCCGCCTAGACTGGCTTCTCCCTTTCCCCAACCAGGACGGGGACGATGGAGGTCCACCACAACCTTTTATGGGTATTGCTGCAAGCCCCATGCCTGGATTTGAGATACCGCCGGATGTCCCTTGTATTCCTCGGGATGTCAACCCCAAAGATCGGTTGAGTTTCAATCACCGTCTGCTCAACCCAGATAAAGATGAGCATTCTGCCACAAACCTGCCCGAATTCGGGGCTTCCAGTCCCTCTGTCCCAGATCTTAACCCTAGCCCCGAAGATCCGAACCTCACAATTCCTGAAACCCATGCCTATGCCTCTGATATCTACCAACCTCATGAGACCTGGCATGGTTACCACCCTTCTCGACATTACAGGTTGATTTTGCTATTCTGTGATCTCACGGTCATGAGCTATGAATTCTGGCATGACTGGAGAGGTTAATGGCAATCACCGAATCAGGTTGCGCTTCTTGAATCATGGGTGCAAGAGGCATGTTCATCCAGACCAACAGATCCACCCGTGCTAGTATCTAATTGTAAAAATGCATCTCAAAATCAACTTAATCGAGCAATACAAAAATATCTGAGTCAATACTCTATATTTAATTCAATATCCGTAGTGGAGAAAAAGTATGAATGAATATGTCATTGTTCAACCTGATTAATTCGTATTGCAGTGATTTGAGGCTGTGCCTGATTGGCTCTGCGCAAAATAAGCTTAAATGGGATGTTTAGTCACCTGAAACAAGGTTCCAAGGTTTCTTCAAAGGTTTTTCCAAGGTCCGCACTTCGATATCAACCTCAGAATCTTGGACGACGATATCCCCAACTCATCAAGCGCAGTCTTCGACCGCAGCCCAATTTACTATTCCTCAAAGCTATGTTCCAAAGTCCACCCTCGTAGCCTCGGGTATTGGAGCTCTATTTCACAACTTCGAGACAAGACAATGTATATTAAGTTCTTCTTCCATCTGGGCCAATTCTGTGCAAAGCTTGAGAATCTTCACTCTCCTCTTACCAAATGGTCGCGTCCAACTCTATTTCTTTTAGCAAAATTTCTTTTTTCCAACGATCATTACTCCTGGAGTTACCTTTCCAGTCCCTACTTCGTCTGGAAGAGAGACGTGCGGACGAATCATTGAACAACAAAAAGGTTCCAGGTGCATGATGCTCATTGACTTCGATACCTAGAGCCAATTTGTAGGCTACGACATTAGGCTATGACATGGAGCAGTTCAAATTACATTTGGGTGGTAATGTTTGATTCAATCTTGAAACTTATTTTGTTCGCCTTTTGACTGATCATACTCTAAGAGACCAAGTAGCCTGTCGCCTTTGAGGTTCGATCTGACGATGGAACTTTTATGGAGCACGGTTCGCAAGAGGCGGTGCGCCTCTTCCTCGGTTATATGGTCCATATTTACTGAATCTCCTCGAAGGCCCGAACAATGAACGACTTTCCCTGAATAACCACCTTCTCCCCTGGGATCCTCCATTTGCCCACACCTTCTCCCTCATAGCCGTTTTTCATCGAGGGTACGGCAGCTCCATCAGGGCCCACCACGTACTTCTCCTCCCACTTAGAACTCCACTCTTCTCTTCTCGCGCTGACTTCACTTCCTGACCTCTTCACGGACCATACTCCGCTCTCATCTTTCTGGCTAGAATGAGTCTGAGTCTGCTGGAACGCCAAATACGTTCCCCAGATGCGGCCGATAAAGATTTTGTTTATGGTCACCTCTCCTTCCTGCTCACCTAGAGCCAGGGGAGCATCATCGGACTCTAAAATCCAAGAAATGCCTTTCTTCGCTCCTTCGGGGCCCTCTCTGAAGGGTAGCTCCTGCCAGACCTCCTCAAAGGTCGTCATAGGCGCACCGGGAAGGTCGGCCCGAGGCATCTCCCCGCTTTCAAGATCTGTACCATCGGGACGGGGGCTAAAGTTACCAACATCCTTGATGCCGATCTCGTTCAGGGAGTCCAACTCGCGCGTAAAAGTAACTTTGACTGTTGAAACAATTATTGTCTATTCAGCCAAGAACTTAAATGACAATAATAGGAGAGTTCAGGGCAACGAACGTGGGATTTCCTTAGGATTTTCCTCGATTCTGGTACCGGCCATTGCCCAGTCGATGTCGCCGGATTTCTTGTCCATTCGCAAATCAACAAACCACTCTCCCACGGAAAGCACAATTGTGTCGGTTGTTTCCTCGGGGACTTCTGGGACCCATCGGAGCGAAATACGCGTTGCGAAACCGCATGATGAGCCTAGTTGAGCACCAGTGGCAGACATTGTGTGAAGGTCTCTACCTAGGTGATGTTTGGTGTTCACCAGTTCCTTTATAACGAAGATTCTAATCAAAAGTCGCCGTGGCAGGTTTCGGTGATCAAATACAATTGAAAATCGCAGATACCAAATTTGTCTTCCGATGTCCCTCCATACTCGTGCACCCCGCGTCGGCCCTAGCTTATGTAATACATCCGAATTGGGAAATTTGGAGCGATTCGAAGATTGATTCGTTATCGGGCGTTATCATCATTCACCCATAATATAATTATTAATACTAGTGACCATCTCCTCTAAAATTTTCGATATTACCTTACCTTCGGTCGAGTAGGACCTGTATTATAGCCTCTATATGACACGGCAAGTCTGGTCAAAAAAGAGATAGAGTCCTATTCAAATGAAATACTGAAGATGGAGAAAGGAAGAGAAAGAAGGAAGCACCAGAGAAAACTCTCAGAATATCTACTTAGTTAATTAGTTAATGTATTCGGTAAGCCAGTGACGTGGCTAATCCAATCTATTACATTTGTATACACTTTTCTCCCCCAACGCGATGAAATTAATGAACCCAACTAGTTAGTCTATCTAGACTTGTCTCTCTTCTATGCCCTAATAGCCTATAGGGAGTCCCAGGGTTCGAAGACGAATAATGAGCTTTAAAATAACCCTATAGGGGGAGAAATGTATTAAACTATTCATTTACTCATTTCTATAGCTTTTATGGTTTTGCGTGTGTTGTACATCCCTCGATCTTCCACATCTGAGACACAGGGTTTGAACGTCCATTCCTTAAGATTTTATCTCTCTTTCGTCCCCCAATTTTGCATTTTTTTTATCTCCCCACACAGTTCTAATTACTGTTTCCGCATACAAACTCGCAGTGAAAAGCGAAAGGTCACTCGCTAAGCCTGGTGACAACTTTAGACCGGCCGATGATATCCTTATCCACCAATAGAGAGCTTAACATTCTAGAAATCACATAGGCTCCACTTATCTACCAGCACAATACAAGAGTCCTACTTGAGAAGGAGCCGACTCGCTCCATCCTACGCACTTTGTTGCCTTTCCCAATTCCGGGTGACCTCGGCAATGCATTTGGCAAGTTTTCTGAACCCTTGTGATGCAAATCGTCGACAGTGGGTCCGGATACAGGATTGAATCACCTCGGATGAATGTTCGGTCTAACAAAAGTCGAATTTTGTTAAACAATGTCCAAATCCGACTACTTTTTAGCCTGTGGTCCCTTATTACGTACATATATCTTCGGTATGGAAAAACGTAATGTTCTATTTCAAGTCTTCGTATTCACTCTTGAGGTCGCTTTACGAAGTTGAACGTGAAGGACAAGGGGTGTTGAAACGGGTCATTCATTGACGATATATTTATTATGATGTACCAGTTACCCACATGGGTATGTTGGCATCCACTTTTCAGCCCCTGGGACCACTGACTGACCTTCGTATTTATCTTGGCGCTTATGGTGGTCTTGGCATTGGTCTTGGCATTGACATCGGAAGATAGTTGCATGATACTATAAACCTACTACATCTGTACAGATGTAGTACAATTGAAGACTTACTCAATCTTGACTATTACACTCATTTTACATTTATCTGACCAGTTACCAATTTTGATCTTTTGTAGTTATACCATAAGAGTCCTTCGTTCGACAAAGTATATAGGATTGGATGGAGGATTGGGTAGCGGAAAGAAATGAGAAAGGGGAACTAATTCGTAAGGTAATCTAAGGCTAAGATGTCTATTACGTGGTGGGGGAAATAGGGGTCCAGTCCGGGGGTGGTAACTTGCACCCCTAGCATCCCGGAAAAGACCGTGTATATAATAAATGACTACACGGAATAGTATAATCCCTTCCGAGACTTCGGAGATTAGCTGGTCTTGAACTGTAAGCGGAGTATGGTGTACTCCAATGTAGGTATTAAGGACCGGGTACCTCATCCTCATTTATCTATACGAGCAGATCATGACTGTTCTCTAATTTTGACATACCCGGGCGTATCCACAAACATTTCACACAGTAGGCGGGTTGGTCTCGTGGGCAATTCCTCAAAGAGGCAGTTGGTCCTAATATCAGATACAATGACCCTTTCATATGCCAATGAGCTAGATACAGCTACGACTCTGCGTGTTCGGAGGCCATGTAGAATATTGTGTATAAATATGGCCCTTTGCTTCCATCGAAGACAGATTCCAAGCAAACTACATCTGCAGTTGTTGGCTTAGTTGTTCTATTTCGTCACTCATCTCATCGGCCTCAAGGCGAAACACCCCGATGCATTTCAGCCAATTTGGTACACTGTTTTACCTCCTGGCTCCGGCCAGTGGTATGGCAGTCAGGCCTTATGGAGGAGTGCCTCATGCCCGAGCAGTCTCCTCTTCAGCACCTTCAGGCAACCCGTGTTATCGCGCTCGCTTCGGCTGTGGCAACTGGAGCACCCGATGCGGCAGACGCTGGTCAGAATATCTCATCCCTTTGGACATCGGCAAAATGTGACCAAAATTCTATTGAAAATGCTACTGTCGCCTTCGTTGATCGATGGTATTTGGCAGGCGTTCCGGGAGCCTGGAACACGATGCTTGACGAGTGGCAGAGTGGAGCTAAGGATGGCATGTATCGTAACCTCGCATTTCCGGAGTTCGTCAGTTACTACTTCCACGGTCCAGAGCAATGGAACTGCAAAGATACAGGGAGCGTCCCATGCTCTTCCGTTGTCCAGTGCAAGGATGTCGATCATCCAGCAGGGTATGGGTTCAATCATATGTCTCGCCTAGTATCATTACAGTCATGCTGACAGCAGATAGCTACCTTATCTTGAATGCTTTCTCCAGTATCCATCAGGTAAGCTCTTGCGGGTGTCCCGAATTCAACCCTCAAGTAGAGCATACTAATTAAAAAAATTATTACAGCTGCACAGTAAGATGTACGACGCACTGAATACGGCAATGATTGAAATCCAAAGCAAGATAGGGGAATTATCCTCCATCTTTGCTCCCCAGAGTGATGACACCCAGATAATCCTGGCAATTTTTGATGCCTTGACCACCATGATGGGCTTTAGTGTTTCGGCATTTTTTAGTGTCGGTAAGTAAAGGCAACCTTTTCCATTCCAAAACATCCGGATCATAGATTAACCAAAGTACAGTTGAAAAGGATGTCGCAAGAGCAGCCTCGGGTATATCCACTAGCCGTGTGGAGAGTGTAAGGCCTCGCGCTCGTGGCTCTGGCGGCGATCATGGCGATAGTGGCTCTGGTACTGCTAAGACAGTGACTTTCAAAGATCCGTTAATGACCAAAAAGAAGATGGAAGAGGCGTTGAGGGGAAAGCAGTTCTCATTCGATGGTAAAGCGTATGCTAACGACATGACGTACCAAATTTATGGTATCACGGCGACCTGGATCAGAAATAATGCTCCTCAGTAAGTTTATACATGACCTTCCAACTTCCTAGGAGACTGTCCTTGCTAACCGGAATAGAGTTCATGATAAACTTGGAGCTCAGAATTCACTAAGCTCCGCTCTCGGCGACATATTTGCGGCTTGGAAGGATACCGAGGCCTCATATCTAAAGAACATCTTTTCGGGCGAGGAATCATCACTGAACGACCTTGAAATCCTTATCGATGATGGCAAGATGAACGCCATGCCAAACAGACTGGACGAAGATCAGATGTCAAAGGATTTGCAGGCGGTACTCTATGGTCAACTGATGCCTACTGCGTGGAAGACCGCCTCCCAGAACGCCGGCGCTCATCCAATTATCTTGTAATATGACCTAAATCTTTACTTGAAAAAATGGTGCTAATCGGAATGTCTACCACAGGAAGACGGACTTCAGCTGTGATAACAAGGCCGCTGAGATACCTGAGATCAGCGATTACAATATTATGACTGACGCAGACTCTGCAAGCACACGCGTGTGCTGGAGGGAGAAACTGGTTTTCCTTGTGAATGTTAATGAGTGGGACTTTTTCAACCAAGTCCACTTCACACCACTACCCGGAGTGGATAGTAGCAACCTCTCTGGAAGTAAATGGGGAGGCATTACCATTGATGACATTGTTGCAAGTGCAATGACCGGATATGAGAACGCCGGCTACAAAAATGGCTACAAAAATGGCTACAAATCGCCGGGCACGGATGAGATTGAGATGGATGAAAATGCCGATCAATATGGGAAGCGAATCCGTTACCCTGGCTTCTTCAATATCCCCGTATGCGAGGGCCTGGCGAAGACCAAGCAGGCTATCGTTTCCAACCACCAAGCAAACTCTCCATTTTGGCCTTGCGACTCACCTGAGAACTTCAACAACGCAGGAACTACCATTGTATGTCCAACCTGTCTTTGACTTTTCAAACGTGATACTAACTGCTAATCACCGGTTTAGCATGTAAATAAGGGATGGATTACTGCTAATGGTGATACACCTGTTTGCAGTACGTTCAGTAAGTAGTTGCACCATCTTGAGTTCTGAATTCAGGCTTACAGTTTTATCTATAGAGGTTGATGATCCAGGAAATGGTGATACGCTCAGTGCAACTCTCTACGGACAATTTGATGGAGATAACACTGCCGAATTTTCTGTCAAGGCAACATGCAAGATTACTTTCTCCTGGCCAAAATCGTACGGCGATATCTACTATGGAGAGGACAATTGCATGTACGACGGCGAATCCCAAGCAATCCCGGATGCAGATGGCAAACCCGTGTGTTGCATCAAGGACAATAACCTCACTGACATGGTCACTAACCCATACGTGGTTGGAGGCGCGTGTAAGCCGCACTGATCTTCGGTCCTTGCACTCCATGTGCAATGCAATGGGGGTGCTCTCGGTGGACAGGACCCCATTTGGTGTCAATCGATGGTATCCTTTGAGATCATTCACAATGTTGTGATCGTTTTGTCGTTTTTTTTCCCTTTCTTTCCCACTTCATGTGCCTTTTAGTTGTCCGGTTCTAGTAAATAGTCAATTCCACACAGCTCCTTGTATTTCTAATGAGTTCTGATCACAGTCAATAGCTTGTTGGGCACTAAAAAAAAGTTGTTAAGACGTGCTATGTACTCCCGAGGTTAGTTTTTCTAGGCTTAGCATTGCAGATGACTCCATCATCACCAAAGTACAAATGGCGGGATCCTAATGTAGTCAAGCCCACTTTAGCCCAGCTGAGTCATGCGAGGATAAATAACAATAACAAGCCCCTCGAGCCTCAACCAGCCCAGGTAATCACACGACCGGAAGTACAAGCTCCAATTTCCAAAAGGATCCCAGACTATAAAGGATGCAGATCCAACACCCAGCCCAGACCAGGGCTCTCGCGATCCCGGAGATTGTAATATCAATCCTCCAACAAATGGACATGCGCACCCTATTCGTCGCCCAAAGTGTTTGTCACGCCTGGGCAGAGACAATCCGCAAATCGCGCTCACTGCAAGAAGCCCTATTTTTCATCCCAGCCAGCGAAAAAAGCGAGACAGGCACACGAGTCTCCAACCCCATGCTAGCACGAGCATTTCCAACAAACGACCTGCGAGGTGCCAGTGCTGGCACAGAAATAGAGGACATTGAACTCTGTGATTTCGATCTTACAAAAAGCGCGGACAAGAGAGAGAGATATCTCCGGCCCGAAGCAAGCTGGCGCCGTATGCTGACGCAACAACCGCCAGTCTTCACGATCGGGCGTTTTAGTAAGGGGGTCGGGCCCATGGGTCTTGGTTGGTCACAAGAAAGGGCAGCACGGCAAGATGAGGGACTTCGCATGGGGACTTTGTTTGGACTTCTTGTTTGTTTAACACGCAATGAGTGGAATCGCTGGTGGATTGCGATTTGTCTGGGTGGAGCCAAGCCTGTCAATGCGCCGGTTGAGATTGTGTCTCCGAATACTTCTCTCGTTACGGATAGGATTAATAAGGATTGGAGGGATATGATTGCGGACTTTGATCTTGTGCTTGTGACGGATTCTGGGTTCGCTTGTACGGGTGATGACTCGGATGATGATTGTGAGAAAAGTAGTTATGAGATTGTTTGGGAGGAGATTTGTGAGACTTACTCCAAGTTTGGGTTGACTGTGGGGAAGTTGGAGATGGAAACTTATAATAAGGGATTTGTCATGTGGGATTAGAGCATGAGTTATGTATTACCATGAAAAATCATGGCTTTGTATTAATATCGTGCGTACATAGAGTCCCTATTGAAATAGAGATGACCAAGTAATTGATAAAGAACAAGAAACCCTTACGAATACATCAATAGAGGCAATGATTCCTCGAACTACTTTGAGAAGGCGGCAGTCATAACCAAAATGACATTTTATACCCATGCGTGATCCAAAGCTGTTGCAGACATCTGGTCCGGTTAAATGACTATAGAGGATAACAAATCCATGTGCCCGTGTTTTACAACCAAAGAACACTAGATCTAGCCTTACTATATCTTCCTCTCCTATCCTTAATATGATACATACGACCATAGGGTGTGGAAAACAGGGCTTCCCGTCCGCTCAGCCGTACTTAAGCCACACGCCGGTGAGTTAGTAGTTGGGTGGGTGACCACCAGCGAATCCTCACTGTTGTATGTTTTTGTTTTTCATTTACTATTATTGTAAATGAGTTGCGTACGGTCTTGTGACATCGTTTTAGATGTATGTGAAGGAAGGCGGTAAAATGCATGAAATGTGCGAAGCATTTCTATGTATAATCGGGAAAAGACTGCCAAACGATCGACCATGATGAAATTAATGATATACCAGATAGAAAAGCAGAATATCAAATAGGCAAGGCACTAGCAACACACGCTATATGCATGGGAAAGTATGTATGAACATTGGCTGCGCTTTGCCAGAGAAGAAAGACCTAGTATATGAAAATCAGAAGCAAATAGGAACGAAAGCAGAGAAAAGAACCAAAAAAGCAGAAGGGAAACGAAACGTGATGTAAGAAGACAAAGGGGGAATTGATGAAGAACACAAATCAGGAAAGGAAGAAAGGGAAAGAAAAGAACATGAATTCGTTGTATGCATCAATGTCATTAAGACGGTTTTTGAAAGGGAAGAAAATCGTATGTGCGGTTGAATATTGAGTCGTGCACGTAGAATTTCAATCTAGAAGTCATCATCCATCTCATCACTGTCCCATTCGTCTTCACGGTCGTTTTGTACTAGATCCAAAAATCGCTGAAGACCAGGATGTGCCTGTGCTCTACCTGGTCGGATTGCAATAGCCTCCCATCGGATGGGACCCTCTTCATCTGCCAATGGTTCTTCAGGAACCTCCGCCCACTGGACAGGATGTCTGGGATCACCTGCCTGCGCAGGGAGCCGTTGGGGAGGAGCTTCTGCCCATCGAACAGGGCGTCTGGCCTGTCGTCTCGCATTTCGGTTCCGTACCTCAGCCATGGCGCGAGCTTGGGCTTGACGTTCAGCGGCAGCAGCACGGGCAGCTGCATGATCACGCTGGCCGGGTCTGCCACCACCACGGTTGACTTGGGGTGGAACGGGGGCGGGAGGAGGAGGGTGTCGGTGGAGGTCGTCTTCGTCGTTATCGAATTCAAATGCGGGGCGGTCGTCATCACTTTCGTCGGTTTCTTCGTGAATGGCTACCACCGCTGGGTCGTCGTCAAATTCTAGGAGGGCGTCTGGGATGCGGTGGAGTGCCTCGGCTCCGTCGGGATTGATGCCATCACCACCTTCCAAATCCCAGAGACGGTTGAAGCATTGGCCTTTCTCGTCGTTAAAATGCCTGTACGGGTTGTCTGCACATAGCCAGGCCGAGCAAAGGTAGCAGAAGTGTGTGTCACACTGGAAGCAACGCATGTGATTGCATCCCATTTGCTTCTGGCAGGGCACGTTGCAAGTCGGGCAAGGGGTAGTGTACAGGCGCAGGTACTCTTCGGTTGCCTTTTCCTCCTCGGTGGGCTCGCCGTCGCGGCGTGGGAAGCAGCGTACCAACTCGCCATGCCAGCCCTTCTTGCAGACGCAGCAGAATGCGTAGTTACAATCTTCGCAGATAGACACACGCTCCGCCATGGGAGGAAGCTCCCCATCTTGCACTTCGCTGCGGGGCTCGGATCCATCTTCTTCGTCCGAACTATCCAAGTCATCCGACATGGGATCTTCTGGCTTGGGGTGACGCTTAGACCGTGCAGCTCCCTGGCACCATTGCCGCGGACAGTAGACTGTAGTTTTGTCGGCTTCAATCTTTTTCTTTCTCTTGAGAAATGCGTATCGTTGCACCATTTCAGGGGTCAGAGGTATCTGGAGTAGCTCGCTTGGTCCTAGGGTGCGATCGCGCTTCTTGCGGGGCGGGGTCTGGCCGTCGCGCGGTGCAACTGCAGGTCGCTTGTTGTACTCGCAATCCGGCGCCATGCATTTCACATTGTCAACATCACCCTCAGTGATACAGGAGTTGTAGAAATCCTGCAAGCATTTGATGCAGAACACGTGGGAGCAGCGAAGTAATCGATAGCAAACTGTACCCTTCTTCGGTTCAAGGCATACCCCACATTCAAAAGTCCCCTGTTCAAACTTTTCCCGCTCGGCTTTTTTGTTGTAGTCCAGTAGTCCGATTTTCAAGTCCCGCGACAAACATACTTCTCCAGATGAATCCTGAATGTTGAAAGTTGTTTCTGCAAGCTGCTGGAGGTGGTCGATGTAGGTAAAGACAACCAGATCCTTTCCACATTCTTCCCAGAGTCGGTGGCAATCGCTGGATAATTGATCGATGACCGAGGAAGGTAGCCATGAGGGGATTGTCTTCAGATGAACGATAGGCGGCTTTTCGGCTGGGTAACCCTCTGGCAATTCAATCTCGAGATTGAGCGGAGGCAAGTGCGAGAGGAGATGGATGTCTTTAATGGGCGGCTGGTCTAGTTCTCCTTTCGACTCGTCTAATGAGGTTGGAGGTGTAATAGCGGCAGCTGCGACATCGAGAGGTTGCTGAAACCATATTGAGGTTGGGGCGGAAGGTGCGACAGGAAGATCAAGAACGGCTTTGAACGGAGAGGAAGGATCGATTTGAATTTCTGGGAAGATAGCAGCAATCGAGGAAAGCTCGACCGAGCGATCATCCTCCGGGAAGTCGAGTTCGGTCATGGCGGGATGAAACCGAATACGATCACTTGTGAAGATTTCTCAGGTGGGGGGGTATTTGTATATTTGCCTCCGGTATGATGCTAGTGGATCGCAATTTGAAGACAAAATGTCTCCTGCAAGAAATTCTAGCAACGCTAGCTCATGACTGTCGTAAAAAAAAAAAACCTTGAAATGTAATAATGATGACCGATCGCAAGTGAACTGTCACTAAGGACGATCGGGCACAAAAGGGGGGGTTATATCCTGCAGGAAGATCACTTCGAATCAGCGTTGCGACTTGAGACCCTGGTAAAACAAAGTCAGACCAACCAAAGATGAAGATGTTCCGAGTATTCCTTCTATGGGCCAATGTTCGGCAGAAAGTCGGGAGGGGTCCAAAAGATGATGCAATAGAGAGTCTGGGGTTTGGAGAGAGAACAACGGCGTCATTGTTTGAAAGTGAGGTAGTAGACAAGGAAGACAGAGAAGAAAGGAAGAAAGCAAAAAGAGACACCAAATATCAAGATCCCAAAAGAATGGCAAATCCCTTCGGATGCCTAAAATTTGAAGGGAAAAAAAAGCATTTGGAAAGTCGAAGTGGTCCCCGCTGCCCAATCTCCTTATCGTCGATAAGACAGAAAAAGTCTTGGCACTCCAGGGCTCTGGTCTTGGCCCTGGGATATCCCTGAAAAAGGCAATCTCCAAGTTTAGGGGACTTTTGGATCTTCTAAACTTCCCTTATTCACTCTTTTTATCCACCATGGGAGACACTCCGCTGGCGTCGTTGTCTCTGACTCATGTTCACTACGTTAGTTACTTCATTTCTATGGTTGTTATTCTTGTTATACTTGCCACTAACTTGATTCTAGAACCCCGAGGACCAACTGTCCTTTGCCTCAGCATGGCTGGCCCTGATCCCACAGGCACTATGCGTTTCCTATGCAACCTTGATCTGGTCAACAAGGGAGGTGGAAGTCATCTTGATGTTTGTAGGACAGCTGGGCTGTGAGGCCGTAAACTTTGTCCTCAAACGTTTGATCAAGGAAGAGCGACCGAAGGGTAAGTTGTCGTCGATGGTCTCGTGGGCACCTTCCCAAACTAACACGTGTAATTCACAGAAATGTTCGGCAAGGGATATGGAATGCCATCTTCACACGCCCAATTCATGACCTTCTTCTCCGTCTACCTCACCTTCTTCCTTCTCTTCCGTCACAGCCAAGCTTCCGCCAGCTCCTACCCCAATGTCGCCGTCCTCCTACGAGTCCTGGTCATGCTGGCCCTTTGCATTGGAGCTGCTGGTGTCGCTGCCAGTCGGGTCTACCTCAACTACCACACCCCGAGACAAGTCCTTGCCGGCTGTGCCGCTGGATTCGTATGCGCTTCTGGCTGGTTCGTGGTCACCAGCCTGCTCCGAAGCTCTGGTTTGGTTGAATGGGCCATGGAGACCACTGTATCTCGGTTGGTCAGAATCCGTGATCTGGTCGTAAGTGAAGACCTGGCTGAGGCTGGCTGGCAACGTTGGGAGTCTCAGAGATTGAAGCGTCGCGGTCTTAGTAAGAAGTCGGAGTAAGCCCTGGAGGGATCCTCCCTCCCCCCTCCTTTTAGCATGTACCTATCATAGTAGCGAGCGAATACCTGCCTGTTGATAACTGCTTGAAATTGATTTGATTCAATTCGTTTTTACTGAATTCATGATCGTAAATCTCAAAATAAACATACAATAGCATTGTAGTATGGTCACGTGTCAGATGGCCTCCCGCATCAACACCTCTCGTGCACTGCGAAGACTTACAAAATGCGTAGTGGTCCATTTGCATGAGTTTCATATTATTTTTGCGCTCCTTTCTTTTCGCTTTTTTGCTTAATGTATGGAGCGTTGGTACTTTGGTGATCCACCGAACAACTTTCTGCCAGGAACACAACAATTCAACAAGTCAAGTCCCCAATGATGGACGTGCCTTCAGATCCACCCGAAGCCACTATGCAGGAGCATCATATTGTCAAGGCAGATGAGGTCGACCAAACAGGGACTGATATTTCGCCAGTTTCAGACGATCAACTCATGGAGGAGGTGGCTGAGGGGCTCCGCCAGGAACAGGCCGAACAGGCCGCGCCCGCTCCTGAGACGGCGCCCTCTGCGCCCGAAAAATCCATGAAACGACCGGAGCTTCGTCGCGAAGGCTCTGCTCCACCTCCTCCAATGCAGCCGCCCCCTCCAGCTCCCGTCCAGGAGAATACGGACCGTGGTGCAAGCTCTCTGAGCTTATCGGAGTTGCGGAAGCTGGTGGGCGAAATGCCCAAGATCGAGCAACCAGCCTATGCTTTTGAATATGCCGATGCCCAATCTTTTCCCGATGAGCTCGATGAGTGGTTCCAGTATAATGCCTTTGATCGTGTCATGTTGATGGGCACGAAGGCGACTTTTAACAAGAAATGGCTCACATTTTACCAGCGACGCCAGCGAGACACGCCCGGGGTGTCGTGGCTTGACGCATCCAAGGATTTACGTCGCTCGTTTGTTGCTCGAATGCTTGAGGACCTGCAGCTTACTGAAGCCCCCGCGCGATTGGAAGCCCTTGAAACCATTTGCTATGTTGTCACCGGTGTATGGGGTCTCAGTGGTGGGAGAGTGGCGCCCGACTACCCTTCAGATGGAAATTCAGAGTCAGCAGCTGAAACGCCACTGCTCAAGTCAATGCAGATTCAATGCATCGAGGAGAATGTTTCCCTTCTCCAGGAATGCTCGGGCGTTACCGCTTTGATACAATACATGTGCCGGCTTTTTGATAAGACCCGCTCAGCATTCGGGTCGGACTCCAGTGACATCGATTACGAGCGAATTAACCCTGGCGATATTGCAGCACCTGAGCGCGAGGCCAACCTGGTCCTTACAAGTTTATATTTTGCTGTGGAAGTGGGTCGCAGGCAACAGGCGCGTGACCCTCAGTGCAGCTCAATCCGCGATGCACTGACCAGCTCAAATCCTAGCTTGCTGGTCTCCATTGTTGAAATCATCGCTCGGCTACGCTGGGACGAATCTGCCAATATCCCGCTGACCAGGATCCTTCTGTTGTTGTGGAAATCGCTGCTTCTCGTCTTTGGCGGGACTGATGATTTGAAGCGCGCAAAGGAGGTACTAGAGCCTGCAGTTTCCTCTGAGGAGGATGATTCCAAACGCAGGACACCATTCCTACATGCCTCCCCTCTGGACTACCATCTCTTCCGCCAGGAAATCACTTCCAAATACCCAGCTTACAACCCTCCGCCACTTGTCGTTCCACTGGAATTGGAAAACAACTCAATTCTACCCCCTCTTCCACACAATGCAGCCAAGATGAACTCGTCCAGTGGTATTTTTTGTGGTGTTGCCCCCTCGATATCCGGTGGAAATGGGTCTATTCTTCAACAGGCCGTTCATATTGCAACCCCAGCGCCATCCCCACCACCATCCCCCGCCGGCCCAGGAGGGAAAGCTGGGAAGAAACAGAATTATCAGACCAACCAGAATTTCCCCTTCATGTACCCTCCCCTAGACGATTCCAGCAACCGCATTGGCGGAAAGGGCACAACAGAACTCCAGGATACCTTGGTAGGAAAGAGATGGGAAGGTAGCGATGTCCCTGCGTCAATTATCGAGGCCGGAAAGCTCTTTTCGACCCATGTGAAAATGACCCGTGCGATGCGACAGCTCTGGCAGGAGCGTGAACACTTTATGCAGTACGACCGTGGCTGGAACTCTGAGGACGCTGCTCATTTCCCCGACAACATCTCGGATGATCTACCGGATGATTTTGAACATCTAGATTTGTCGGGTGACGAGGAGAAGGCCGAACCTAAACCAAAACCAGTGGAGAAAGAGACGGATGATCCTGATATCCAGCGGCGTCTGGATGCGGTTGACTCGTTTTATGTGAGTGCACGCTATCGAGACCCAATTTCGACATTTGCTTACTATTTACAAGACCAATACTCTATCGCACCTTCAGTCCATCACCATCGTATTCTTGAAAATCATCCTGACAAATGTCAGCGCAGTGGTCAACCAGGCTGCTAGCCAGACTACACAGGGCATGAGGTGAGCTCAGACACTCGAAATAACAACGAATGTGTTCTAACACGAATTTTAATAACAGTCATTCCATCAATGGCTCCTCTCAGAACCTCCTTTCTGATGCATCCATCGATGAGCTAGACAACATTCGACTTCGCGAAATCACCGGGAAAGCCGTATCTGGAACTCTATTGCTTCTCCTGAAGTGGTTTAAGCGATCTCGTGAGTCTACATTCCAATTCCTTTTTTTTTTTTGAATGACGGTGTGCTAACCAATCAAGATATTTTAAAATTTGAATACATGACACAGCTGTTGCTCGACTCCAACTACATCCCTTTGATCCTCAAAATGTTTGCACACCAAGATGTTGATCAAACGGTGGCACACAAGAATGACCGCGAGGACTTATCGTACGTTACTCAAGTTTATTCACTAAGCTAGTTCACCCGCTAACACAAAATCCAGCTTCTTCCACTTCTGTCAAAGCAACACGGACTTCCCCCAAGAAACCGAAGATGACTCCTGCGGCGACACTGAAAGCGAAGACGAAGCCATGCCACCCCCAATCGCCCGGCACCGCTCCGACCCAACAGCAAACGGCAGTATGCCAGGTCTCTCCGAAGAAGAATCCCTAGCGGACATCCTCAACGGACCGGCACGCCCAGAAGTGGACGAACTAGGCTACCCAACCGCTCCCCTCCCCAAAGAACCAATCAAAGTATTCTCCTTCCGAAGCTTCTTCTCCGCCATCAACTACCTACACGTCATGCAAAAGATCACGCGCAACAAAGCACACCGCTGCCTTCTACTAGTGCAGTACAAATCAAGCAACATCCTCCGCAAGGGTCTCAAGATCCCAGATCCACACCTCCGCTTCTACACCCTCAAACTCTTCAAATCCCAAGTCCCCTACTGCGGTCGCAAATGGCGCCAGAGTAACATGCGCGTCATCACCGCTATCTACCTGTACTGCCGCCCCGAGCTGCGCGACGACTGGCTCGCTGGCTCTGACGTCGATGCTGAGGTTGAAGAGGCGTTGCCGTTAGAACAGGCGCTTCGCGGTCTTACGCACTGGTGGCATCTGCGCCAGTACAAGGATGTCATGGGTGGTGATGAGGGTGCCTCTATGATGGAGGAAGAGCGTGATTTCTTTGTTCGTGAACTTGAGTCTATGGGCTGGGGTGCTGCTGAGGAGATCCTCGGTGGGGCTTGCGAGGAGGAGGTCACTGCTCCTGCGACACAGGGCAATGAATGGGAGGGTGTGCCGCTGCCTATGGAGGGGTGGTCGTGAGATCCCTGTCTTGTGAGGCAATGAGATCAATGAAAGTGCTTTCTATACCCGCTGTGGTTTTTCTGTTCGGTTTTGGTTATGTAGTCAATTTTATGCTGTTTTGTTGTTTACGTCTTGGTTTTAGTTTGGGTTTACTTTCTCTTTCCATAGTTATCTTGGGGATTTAAGCTTCACTAATTCCTGGTATTCCTATTGTTTTTGAGGCTCTTCTTTTCATTCCATCCACCCATTTGAAATAATTGGGAACTTGATACACAAGATAAATGTAAGGAAAGGTCAATCTCGGCAACGGAGTTTATCTTCAGATCCCGAAATAATGAACAATCCTGCTGCGCAGCTAGTTAAATGATACTTTTCGGATGGAAAGTAAAAGGAATTTTGTCGATTATAGTTATAAGAGGTGGTATCCCCATCCCTAGTCCTATCCACTTGCAGCCCTTCCTACTTCGACCACAGAAATTCCCTTATAGGCTTCTATAATGTAAAACTATCACTGCAAAAGCTACAAAGGAACTTCAGATCCCCAAACAGCGAGAGGCCCATCACCCGCCGGTCCATCCCCGATGGGTTTCTGATCATTCACTAGGTCCCCATCTGCATAGTGCTCAATCATATCTCCCCTCGTGTCCCACCAGTAGTCGAAGATCTGCATCCGAGAATATGCCGACCAACACCCCACACAGACTTGTATCCTTTCTTATCAAGCCATTGGTGGCCGAGCTTATGTGTGTCGAAGTAATGGACTTCGAACGAGCAGTGGTGGACGTGGCTTGTTGGATTGGAGCTCATGAAGAAGGTACGGTGGTCGACATGCTCTTCGCCTCGATCGATGTGGGCAAATAGGGCCACGTTCTTCTTGTTTCCTTCTTTCTCGATATAGAGGAAGTCTTTTGGGACGATATTGAAGTTATTGGTATAAAATTCGACGAGTGCTTCGAAATTTGTAGTACAAACACCGCAGTGATGCAGCTGTTCAGAGTGAGTTTTTGTTCTTGGAACGGCGAGTACATGAGTGGGATCTATATAGTATATGGGCTGACGTTGTGGACTGCAGCAGGCCCTGGCTGAAACCACTGGAACCGGCAAACTCGCAGCTTTTCGGTTTCATAGTTGATCTCGAGAAGTTTGGGATAGGCTCTAGGTAGATCCCATAACCTCGATACCAAACTTCCTCTTCAGTCTGCTTTGCAATTATCATACCTAAGTCTATCTATGAAATAGCCAAAGATGAAGACCCTTTATAGATATCGCAATAGTCAATTTCAAACACATACCTTGAAGAAAAACAGCAATTTCATCCAGATCAGAATGCTGGTATCCCATATGCGCCAGTTTAACAAGACGGATTTGAGATTCTGTCCTGATCCCACATCTTTCACACCATGCCACTATACTCTCTGAATCGGGCCCGATAGCAACAATGTCTTCGATAGAGGCTCCGCGGTTTGTTTGGATTGCCTAGCGGATTGATCAGTGATATATATAAATACCCGTTTGCCGACAACACAGGCCTACCATGTTGACGGTTGCAATGCCCCCTTGTCATTCTACTCGCTATAGTGAAACAGCCTCGGAATTCAAGCTCAATATTAAATAATCTATTACTTTGTTCAGTGATATTCAACGTCACACAAAGGCCTCTCCCCGCATTCCCGCACAGCCTCACGTCCCGCGCTTCTTAACAGGGCAGTTCCTCCCCCACGCGGGGCCCCATCCTCTGATTCAAACAACGGATACCCGTGTTTATCGTACGAGGGGTATGCAGGCTAGGGACAACATGAACTGCCCCGCACTGGGGGACTAGCCAACTGTAAGAAGCGACAGATTAGGGTGCGCGTCTTGCCGATGAAAATTTCAGCTTAACATATCTCCTTACTTCCGCGATTCCCTTTGCCGTCTTGATTGACATGTCGTGTTTGTTTCCAGGATACATAATTAGGGCTCAGAGGCGGGCACGTTCTATATGGCATTGATTTATATCTACTTTGGTTTTTCTTAGGAAAGTTGTACAGAGAAATTAAGACAAATGGTTTATTAAAAGATGAGAATGTTGAAGAGACCAAGTTGCTAGACTACTGAGTTTGACATTTGCCATTTGACATTTGACTTTTTTCTCTTCATGGGAAATTAAAAGAATGCCCAGCATCATATAAAATGTAAACAAGAGTACGGGTCAACTCTTCTCCAAGCTCGACCCAAAGCCAAAGTTTTATAAGAGCGAGGAGTCGTTCTAGAATACCACCGTCAATGAGCGTACAAGTGGCTCTTTGGCCTAATCTATATAGTGATCCCAAATCAGAATATGGTGATATCTACATTGAAACTAGGGCATGGTCCCTAGGATAAGTTCGGTTTTGCCCGAACGTGAGAATGTCATTTCTGATAGGGTGAAACACCCGGGTTAAAGAAGATTAGATGGGTAATAAACCACTTCGACAAAGCCGTCTCACAGAGGACGCTGTCCAAAATCTCACAGTCGCGTGGGGCTCCCAACATAGCAGGCTATGATATACGGCAAGCTATCTATCAATAAGATCAGTTTGCTTCCTTCTATCTCGGTACAAGCTTCTCACTTCCACGATACAAATTCGCTAGTTTTCACGACTCTCTTCCACCTAGGGAATTATTGTGATATGTTATACTTAGGGTGTTTCCAAGGTTGTCAAGCCAAATTGAGGTACCCCGTTGCTTGTGCTGTTCCTAGCTACCGGCATAGATCTTATCTCGTTGAATCTAGCCTTGCTGGTTTATGTTAATTTATGTAGCTACGTAGATATCCCAAGGATTGGGCAACAAAAATGCAAAAAGTAATGGGACGAGCCGGGATCGAACCAGCGACCTTGCGAACTTCAATCGCACGCTCTCCCAACTGAGCTATCGTCCCATCTGGGATGAAGGTTGATGGCCAGATAGACATCATGAATCTCAGTTGATTGCCTACATACTATGAAAGGTAGCTGTTAACTAACTTACTTATACGACGGGTACGGAATACAAGTGGCACTTAATTGGTTGGGCTATGGATCATTCCTGGCAGAATACTACCTACATATATGTAAGTACCATATTTAAGGTATTCAATTCAATTACATATTGTAGTCGGGGACCTAGTCCTCCCCTACACAAATGTCTGACCTGTCCCTTCAAGGTTTATTTTATTCCCCGGACATTGTTATGTAAGCATTGATGTAAGCATTGGTTTACGGAGGTTACAGGTAGCAGATAGTTACAGAGCACTCTCTCGTACTCCGTGCATGGTTTTAGTGGATTAATTGAGATGCGATAAATTTTTGTTAAACAGAGGTTTTGGTAAAGTCCAGGTCCTCCCTCGTATATGATTAAATGAATGGTTATTTATTATATCGGCTTTACATCCTCCAACAAACATTCCTCAACTTTTATCGATCGAACTTCCTCGCTTATAGCAATCTTTTATATTTTGTATCACCCTTGAGCGTAATAATTGACTGATATTCATCCCGAGAGAGAAAGGGCTGGAGTCTCGGAGGGCGACCTCCTGGGGGTGGACCGTTTCCAATCTTGGACGAAGTGCGGATCGATTAGCGAAGCATTAATCAGTCGAAGTTGGCCCCGACTTGGATATAACGAATTTTATAGTGGAGAATTTTGCTATGACCTCCGCCTCATAGAAGCCCGGGTATTCATTAACTCCGGGTTCCGAACTAACAACTTTGGCAGCAAAAAATGCAAAAAGTAATGGGACGAGCCGGGATCGAACCAGCGACCTTGCGAACTTCAATCGCACGCTCTCCCAACTGAGCTATCGTCCCATTTGGGATGATGTCATGCTCACTATGATAGTACATAGCCCTATTTCTTACAGATCTTTGTAGTCGAGGATGATTTGGAATTAGTTAGAGCTACTAGTAGCCTCGGAGTATTAAGAAAACCCCAGAATTAACCTAAAGGTATCCATGACTTCCTTTTCTTATTCTCCTGCTGAGCATCCCAAATCTTGTGCCATACCTTTTTACCGCAAACATCACTATAGGTTTTCAAGTTTGCCAGGTATCTCCTAGGATCATCTCATTCAACTCTTTTGGGCCCCTTTGTATTCTGCATGGTTTGCGCGCGTATCATATTAGCATATTTAATATTTGTGTCTGTCTAGATGAACAATTAAATAAATAGATATGAGATAGTTTGTCTTTAATACAAGTTCAAGGTATGCCTCTGGAGTAAAACGCTGAAATATATATAGTCCGAGTTTACGTACGGAGATCCACATATATGTAAATATACACTACAAACCAACAATGACCGATCTCCGAACCATACAGGCCATGTGCAGTGGCATTAGTGCAAGCCCAACTAGATGGTAAGAAACCAGCGTAGGAAGTGGCGAGAATACGTACATAGGTACATTACAAGCTCCGTAGTCACACTCCGTAATACGTCAGTTTCTTTTTTCCTGGACGATAAAATTACAGCTCCTCTGCTAGTTACATTACAAGGTTTATTATAAAGGGCACAAAGCAAGTATATAAGGACGTGGCACTGTGGTACCTCGCTGCATTAGATCCGAGATAGATACAATCGGGAAGAAGTTAACATTATCCTAAGAGACCACCTGCACTATGGTTGACATGTTAGGTCATTAATTTGGAATATTCTATAAGCTGCACCTCTCATAGTCACCCGTGAGCTCTAAGGTCTAACATGGTCATATATTGCATCCGTAGGCGCGGTTTAAAACGCTGAAGGTGGTGAAAGCGATGAAATAACCTTCCTATGCCTTCATGATGTCTGACTGGCGCTCAGTCTGCATCCCAAATGGGACGATAGCTCAGTTGGGAGAGCGTGCGATTGAAGTTCGCAAGGTCGCTGGTTCGATCCCGGCTCGTCCCATTACTTTTTGCATTTTTCCTGTCCAATCTTTGTGATATCATCACGATAGATGGATCAATTGGGGGTGTAAATGATTTTTTGATTGGTTCATCTAATTAGCTTAACTACTTAACCTCAATCACCCCCCTCCG